ATCAATCGATCTGTTCCACCGCGCCCAAAGGACCCGACCCCGATATAGCCATCATCACCGAACGTCTCGCGCAAATTCGTCACAAGATCCTGGTGCTCTCCGGAAAAGGGGGCGTGGGCAAATCAACATTCTCTTCCCTCCTTGCCCATGCATTTGCGGCGAACCCGGACTCGACCGTTGGATTAATGGATACCGATATCACTGGGCCTTCGGTCCCGAAGATGATGGGCGTCGAGGCGGAGACCATTCACGTGAGCAACGCGGGATGGAGTCCGGTGTGGGTGACGGATAACCTGGGTGCCATGAGTGTGCAGTTCATGCTGCCCAACCGAGACGATGCGGTCATCTGGCGGGGGCCGAAGAAGAACGGTCTAATAAAGCAGTTTTTGAAGGACGTTGATTGGGGCGAGCTGGACTACCTGATCATCGATACGCCCCCCGGTACCTCGGATGAACATTTGTCAGTCAACTCCTTACTGAAGGAATCTGGCGTTGACGGGGCGGTTGTCATCACGACGCCCCAGGAGGTGTCGCTGCTGGATGTCAGGAAAGAGATCGACTTTTGCCGCAAGGCAGGAATCCGAGTCTTGGGGCTGGTGGAAAACATGTCGGGGTTCGTTTGTACCGGCTGTGGGCACGAGTCCAAAATCTTCCGGGCTACCACCGGAGGCGGCAAGCGTCTCGCCAAGAAAATGGGCATTCCTTTCCTGGGGTCCGTTCCTCTTGATCCCCGTGTCGGCATGGCTTGTGATTATGGGGAGAGTTTTGTGGATAACTTTCCGGATAGTCCGGCATCGACTGCCATCAAAGGGGTTGTGCGATCGGTTGGCCAGCTTGTCGGCGAAGATCCGGACGCCGTGCTACCGGAGGAAATGATGGAATGATTATATGCATGCTTACTTACATTTGTTTTCTCCAGCGTGATGCATTGGGGCAGCTTTTCCAAGGGATTGTTGGGTTGGGTTCTCTTTTCTTTTTTCCGCCCCTTCACTATTTTTGGCGTTTTACGGATAGAGATAGTTTTTGGATACCAGATCATTAGCACAATTTATGAAAATTGCCATGAAGATTGATGCATAAATCCCCTGATTCAAAGAATTCTGCCCCTCCGCCCCTTGAACCCAACACAGACCAAGCGGGAGAAAAGCAGACAACATGGCAGTCGGAACAGAGCGACTTTAACATTCCAGTGCAATTTAGGGTGTGTCGATCCGGGCCCAGGACGACAACCTTGTACCATCTGGGCAATACATCCTGCTGGGCATGCTAAAATCAGTAATGCCAAGTTCCGCCATCAAGGAGCGCGGTCATATATAAATTGGCCGTTCCGTTGATCGCGATCCTCGAATCTTAACCAATGCTTGGCTGCTCCATCCGGTCGAGTGATGCTGAATAATAGAGGACCTTTTTTTTCCCTTCAAGCACACAAATCGCAACTGAAGTTCCACCAAGTGTTAAGCAAGCCTGCCTACTGGCCGTTTCATGAGACATCTGGTTCTTGGGAGGTTGTGGTCTTGCCATGCCCGATGCTGCGGACAATGGACCTAGGGTTCCACCCCGAGGGAGGGTTGACTTTGACGCCATCCATCAAGCGTCTTGTCCATGTTAGAGATCTGCCCTGTCATGCGACCGATAGCCAGAAGCGTCGATGCTCATGGTGTAAGTAGACAGGCTACGTAACAAATAAGGTAAACACATTTTCACCTACGTAGTACGTATACTCCGTATCTGTAGGACCAAATCCGACTCGAGGTGTCGTTAGGCTACCATATTTTGATTTTATTTTTTTAGTTATGTTTTCTCTGTCCTTGAGTGCACGAATCGAGAGGGTGAACATGAAGCAACAGAAGCAACGGCACGGAGGCTTCTAGCTCCAGCCCCCCCGTTACAGCTTGCGTCTTGGGCCCTCGGCTGAAACACCCGCCGAGCGCGGTGATTGGCCTTCCGGAGACGCCGCCCCTCCGCCCAGCGTTTCACGGGTCTTCACTCTTCAGTTAGCGTTACTGGCCACCGTCGCAGTGCCTGAGCCACCGTTGCCTTCAGGGGCAACTTGGGCCTGACCGTCGCTGACTGGCCCTGACACTCTTCCTCGCCGGCGGCTGTCATCCTCGTTCCACGCGCCATGGAGATCTACCGTTGAAAGTTCAAACGCTGTCACACTCTACAACCCACCTGTGTCAGCCATATGAGTCGGTGGCCCGCTTCAAGTCCCTCACTGCACCACGCATTGGTTCTTTCGTCCACCGCCGGACTCTTGGAGCTGCTCCATCCGCCCTGATCTTTGCTAGTCCTCGAAATTGGTGGATCAGGCATACGTCTTGGTACTTGGACTTGAAGTCTTGGAAACGCAGCAATTCTCGTGGATTCTGGTTCCTGCACGCTTTTTTTATCTTAGTTTTATTTTTAATTTTTTTTTTCTGTCTTCACCTCGATTAGACGGCCCTTGATCCCTGCACGATCACTATTAATTCCTTTCACCTCTCTCACATAATCCTAATGCCATTCTAACTTCTAACCTGTTCCCTTCATTATCTTCCTTTCCTTTAACCCGTTTCTTTTTGACAGCAGTTGCTCTGCGAGGCTGTTGATCTTTACTTATCTTTTCTACTTCTAATCTATTTCTTTTCGTGCTTTCTCTCTTCAGGTATCCAAGTCGGGACTTGGCCCTATTCCATTCCTTTGTTTTACTTGATATAATTTGGGGGAAGAGCGCGAAAGAAAAGACAAGGAGGGAAAAAAGACAATAGATTTATTCTGGACATTCATTCTTTGTGTTCTATTTTTCTTTTTCTATCTTTGGAGGCTTCTTGACGAAGCATACCACCATCACTCATTAATTATTAGCAAGAAGACCGACTGAACCCAGCACCAGCACCATGAGGTTCCTCTTTTCCTTCCTATTCGCCCTGTTTTTCGCCCACCGGGTGATTTCGGTTCCGACAGCCCCTCAACGGAAGGGCAGGTCCTACAAAGTTGAGCGGGTCCGACGTGGGAATGACGCTATTCATGGCCCTGAAGCTTTGCGCAAGGCGTATCGGAAGTACGGAATCATTCCCACCAACCTGGGTTTGGACCTGTCGGACTTTGAGCCCATCCACGTGAAGCATGTCACCACCAACAACAAGCAAGTTGACGAACCCGAATCGGGGGCTGTTAGTGCCGTCTCCGTGCAGGGTGACGCTGCATTTGTGTCTCCCGTTCTTGTCGGAGGCCAGAAGCTGGTCCTCAACTTCGATACTGGATCCGCCGACTTGTATGTCAATACTTGATTAATGTTCGTCAACGTTTGGGATGTGAATTGCTAACTGATAGTCCGCAGCTGGGTTATGAACTCGCGACTGCCCAAGAAGGCGCAGGACGGCCGCACGGTGTATCACCCCTCGAACTCGTCCACGTTTGCCGAGATCACGGGAGCCACGTTCAACATCTCATACGGCGATTCGTCTTATGCGTCTGGCGGCGTGGGCACCGAACACGTCAACATCGGCGGTGCCACCGTCAAGAACCAAGCCATCGGCATCCCGGACGAGGTCTCCGACTCATTCATCGAAGACACCTACTCCAACGGCCTGGTCGGATTGGGCTTCTCGTCCCTCAACACCGTCAAGCCCATGAGCCAGAAAACGTTCTTCGAAAACGCCGCCGAGTCCCTGGACGAGCCCGTTCTGACCGCCCTCCTGAAGAGCGACGGCGTCGGCGAGTACGAATTCGGCGTCGTCGACCAAAAGAAGTACACCGGCGAGATCTCCAACGTGACGGTGGATTCGTCCAATGGATTCTGGGAATTCGAGACGGGCCACTTCGTCGTCGGCAACGGAACCCTGAAAGACATCAAGCACACTCCCACCGCCATTGCTGACACCGGTACTTCGCTTATGCTGCTCGACCAGGACGTGGTGGATGCCTACTACGACCAGGTCCCCGGTGCCATCTTTGCCAGCAGTGCCAGCGGTTACATCTACCCCTGCGATACCGACCTCCCCAACCTTTCCATCGCCGTCGGCCCCAAGCACCTGGCCACCGTGCCCGGCCATCTGATCCATTTCTCGGAAGTTGGAACCAACAGAACCACGGGTGATAAGGGTGAGCAGTTGACCTTTCTTCCCTTTTCTTTCCTCATCTTACATCAAAGCATTTACTAAAATACCCCCAGTCTGCTACGGCGGTATCCAATCCAACCAGGGCAGCTCGATGCAAATCCTCGGCGACGTGTTCCTGAAGGCGTTCTTCGTGATCTTCGACCTCCGAGGCCCTTCTCTGGGTCTTGCGTCTCCCAAATAAACCCAATCCAACCCAACCCAAACTATCCCCCAAAAAAAACAATCAATCCTTTCAGCCATTTTAATCAAATCTCATGAAAGATTCAGCGTTTCCCTCTTGTTTTCCTTTTTGCGTTTGTGGCGTGTTCGAGAGCTACTTGTTCGTCTGGAAACCCTTGAAGCGTAATCTGTGGGGGTGGGCTATATAGATGATCCGATGATGGATCGGTAATGTTGGGTGGCATCTTTCGTTAATGGGAGAAAAAATCAATACAAGGCAATTTGAAAGATGATCTATGTATCACCACTATAGTTAAGTTAGTTAACAAGAATGAGTCAAATTAACTAACTAACTATAACGAGCTGCTGAGTCATCCTCTAAACGGCCTGTTTCGGCGCTAAACCGCATGCAGGCGATCAAATTTGAATCTGATGTTAACGATGGCCGATGCTTGCTGCTGGACGACAGGTTAATTCCGTGCTAGAGATCACAATTAAATTAGTCAATTCCAATTAATCCTTTCCTTCTTCTTTAAGACTTGTTATATCCATTTGATAAATCCCGAGACTCGCGTCCCGGGAGTTGTGCCAACCGACAAGTTGACTCCCTTCGCCAGGCGCCTTTTGCGGGCCGCCAGAACCCCGCGGTGCGGACGACTTTTGGCATCGCCCAAACCTGCCCCTCTTCTTCCGCTTCCCATCTCGCCCTCTCGCCGGTTCCCATTCCGCCTATTCGCAAACATGGCCATCCCCTCCGCCCCCGAGTCGTCGCTCCTCTCCCTCCTCTACCGCTCCTACCCCGCCGCCGTCGCCCCCGACGCCACCGAGCCCGACCTTCTGACGGCCTCGCCCAAGATTTTCCCTCAGACCACCTTCTCCGTGGCCGAGGAGGCCGACATCAAGCAATGGCTACACACCATCTCCGGCCTGCAGGCTGCCCTCGTCAAGGATGACAAGCCCGTCGCCACGAACATCCTGGCCCAGCTGAACGCTCACCTGGCCACCCGCACCACCCTACTGGGCTCCAAGCCCTCCGTCGCTGATATTGCCGTCTACGCCCTCGTGGCGCCTCTCGTCGAGAAGTGGTCCCCCGAAGAACGTACGGGCGAGCAGGGTCTCCACAACCTCGTCCGTCACGTCGACTTCGTGCAGAACAGCCGTCTGTTCGTCCTGCAGATCCCCGAGGAGGAGAAGATCGCTATCGACGTGAACGACGTGCGCTTCGTGCCGAAGCCCGTGGATCCCAAGGAGGAGAAGGAGCGCAAGAAGAAGGAGAAGGCCGCCGCCCAGAACGCCGGTGACAAGCCCCTGGTCGTGGGTCAGGGCAAGCCCGAGAAGGCTGCCGCTGCTGCTCCTGCTGAGTCGGCCGAGAAGCCCGAAGGCAAGGTGAACAAGAAGGAGAAGAAGGAGAAGAAAGAGAAGGCGCCCAAGGCCAAGCCTGCGCCTGCTCCCGCGGCGCCGCCCACCCCCTCGATCATCGACCTGCGTGTCGGCCACATCCTGCGGGCCGTGAACCACCCCAACGCCGACTCGCTGTACGTGTCGACCATCGACTGCGGCGATGCCCCCGGCAGCGAGAACACCTCCCTGGACGAGGCCACCGGCAAGACGGTCCGCACGGTGTGCTCGGGTCTGAACGGCCTGATCCCTCTCGAGGAGATGCAGGACCGCAAGATCGTGGCCGTCTGCAACCTCAAGCCCGTCACCATGCGCGGCATCAAGTCCTGCGCCATGGTCCTGGCTGCGTCTCCGCGCGTGGCCGAGGGCGAGGACTCGCACGCCGGCCCCGTGGAGCTGGTCATGCCCCCCGCCGACGCCCCTGCCGGTCAGCGCATCTACTTCGACGGCTGGAGCGAGGGCGAGCCCGAGAAGGTGCTCAACCCCAAGAAGAAGGTCTGGGAGACGTTCCAGCCGGGATTCACGACCACCGAGAACCTCGAGGTGGCGTTCGAAAGCAGTGCCGTGCCCGCCGTGCAGGGCCAGGAGGGCAAGCCCGCTCTGGGCAAGCTGATCACTGCCTCGGGTGTGGTCTGCACTGTCAAGACCCTGAAGGGAGCTGCTGTTCGGTAAATGAGAGTATCATAAGACTAGTTGGGAACTGGTTTTATCAAATCAAAGAGGTTTTCTATACAAAAAAGAACAAAAAGCGTGCAAAATGTCAAGCCTTTTATTTCGTTGTATTTACAAGCAGCGCAAGGTAGATATGGCCAAAGACAGTAATTAACGTGTCAAACGAGGGAAACGAATTCTGCTCTAGTTCTGTTCCAATTTAACATCTTGTTTGGGTGGTTCATAATCTCGTCTGTAGTATTGGCTTTTCCCCTAGGCAGTTAACTTGGCTTCGCTTTCTTTTTCTATTCAAACAGCAGAACTGGTACATACCTACCTATATTCCGAGGTAAGTAGTAGGCAAAGTGCCTTTATTCATGACCCCTAGGTGCCTAGATAGTCCAATACATACCACATTTTCAGAGGCTGTACATACAGCTAAAGCTAACCTCCTACCTACCTACCTGTTGTTACCTATCTAACAACAAAATTCTACAATAAACCAATCCAACCCACATAACTATAACCATAGGTAGTCAATCTAAACAACGACCCTAGAAACCCCCCCTCCCCGGCGGACCATACTATACCAATAATCTAATCCTAATCCCCAACACCACGACTCATTCTAATCTAGCGAAAGATGAAATCTGAAAGTCGAAATCCATCCCATGATACGTAAGTCATAGTACTGTACATATCTAGTCAAGGTCCCACGACAGGGTCATGCGTTCTTCCGGATCTCGGATTCGACTGACGCCGTGGGACCCTCGTACAGAAGATGTGATGTATGTATGTGCGATTGCGGGGGCCGATGTGTGTGAGATGAGGCGGGGGTTTTTGTGGGATGGGATTCAGGGAGGTATGTACTTGGGTAAGTAAGGTAGGTAGGTTCAAGACTCAATGGGAGCATGTTATTATTGATGGCGTGTTGCTAGTATGTATCTAGGAGAAATTGTCATGGCAGCTTCCTAGCTGGGTGATGGGGATATGGAGTGAGGTTCGAAGGCTGGAGTTGCGATAGTGTAGGTAGATAGGGATCTATCTCGTTAGAATGATGTATACCAATTTCAACGATGACCCATGATTCAGATCACTCGTACAGTACAATCAGGAATAGAGAAAGATAGTCAGCAAACATGTCATGATCCCTGCTGATACCAAAAATCCCCGCATTATAAACAGAGCCAGCTCATCCCCAGTGCACTGCAAAATAAAAAAGAAAGAGAGGGGGCATGAATGACGAAGACAAGGTATACCTAAGGTAGCACATACACGCTGCCTCCCTTTCTACTAAACATACCACCGCTTGAGTCATCTCTCTATTCAAAGATGAAGAAATCAATATTTAAATAAACAGCACCCCATACAAGGTAAACAATCTAACACAACACCAACCAAACCAATCTTCTGATCCTTTTATTCCCCGAGATGCGCGTCCCACCGGCCCGATTCCAAACACTCCGGGATGGTCTGGTCGTGATCGTCCAAACGCGACCGTCGGCCATTTGTTCCCACAATCCCGGAAAAGAGCAGGGATGATCGGGTTATTACTGATAATTTTTATTTCCCATTATATTTTGGCAGTGGAGCCATCAATTCCATGCGCGGAATTGGGGAGTGGTTTTGTTTTAGGAAGAATTCAATTGAACGGGGGTTAAGGTGAGACAAGTTTCTCTTTTTGAGGCTGTGTGTATGGAGAAGTGAATGTGCGTACATACACATTATGCTGTTTAAGAGTTCCAGTATAGGAGGTAGGAGGAAGAGTCAAGGTTCAGCAAACCGGGAGTTTTCGTACAGATTGGACTGTTGTACATAAGAATCCGTTTGTATAGCTCAATATTTGATGTAGACATGAAAAAGAGCGATCATGGTAATATCCTCATTCTAGTGCAGTCATACTCACCGCAGTGTGTAATCGATTGCGTATTTTCTGCTATGATAAATTACACGTAGGTTTTCAAGGTTTCATCTCAAGTAGAGACAGTAAAGACAGTAGTTACCTAGGGTATAGCAGCAATACTATGCTGGAGCACTCAGCCACGAGAACATCACATCCGATACAAGACCTTCGATCAAGCTATCAAACCCTCAAAATCAGGGAGATCTGAGATGAATAACGAAATCAAGACAAGAATCAGCCCACCGAGGCATGGACAGCGTTTCAGATAGCGGCGAGGGCGCTACGCTACTAACTAATCATTGATTGTACTTAAAATTGGCCACTGATCCCGGCTCCCAGCTGATTCTAGCCTTAGGGTAATTAAGTTCCTAGTATAATAAACATAGTAGGTACCTACTTACAAGCCGAACTACCGAGCGTGTAACCCCCACGACTCTGAGTCTGGCGCATTCAAACAACGGCACCGCAGCTGGTCACATCATTATTGCTGGCCTCGAATCCCGAACACCCCGAACCCTCAATCACCTCTGCAACGGTATCAATCCCCCGTTTGCGACATCCCGACGTGGTAGGTAGCCAGTTGTACGCGGTACCTAATTTTTACGGTGTAGGCTATGCCAGCATAGCAAGGAACACCTGTGGATGGCGCACAGCCAGAAAAAAAACCAAGACCGACCAACAAGGCACAGGGTCAATTCATTGGTTCCGGGGGATTATAGTGAAGACGCAAGGTCCCAGAGACGTGGTGAGGCTTATTGTTTTAGGGCGTGATGATGTCGATGAAAACGCCAGAGGATATCAGAATGAGAGAAGTGATACGTGGACTCGGTCAGTCTTGAGCAAGTCCATGGATTTATGGGAAACTATGAGGAGCTAGTGAATGGTGAAAATGTCGACATTTATTGTCACCATGACGATTCGCAACCCTTATTTTTTCCCTGCCAAGTTTACTACGCCAGAACATCAAGATGTCATTGTTGATGCCAAAATGCCAATAGATGGTGTATGTAGACAGGAGAAGAGAGGGGAGAGAGAGAGAGAGAGAGAAATGCCGTCATTCTAATCAAGACTAGACCGGATGCTACCTTCCTCCGCAAATACATACTACCCGATGAACAACAGGATGAACAACAGTCCTGTTTGCTTTTCCCTTTTATTTGGCATTCTGAGACATTCCGGGGGTTGAAAGTAGCCAGCATTCCCATCTATTGTCGACCATCGTCGGTGCCCATCGGTCAGGGAGCCACGCAAACGCAGCTCCAGCTCGGGAAGAACGGTGGAGCGGATGTGACAGAAGTACATGGAAAATGACTAGGGACTGACATACATTAGGGCTAGATTTAGGTAGACGAACACCCAGAATCTAGATCTGCTGGCCGGACCATTCGACCAGAGAGCAGAAGTCCACGAACAGGACACAATCCCCTAATTCAGCCAGCCAGGCCCATGCCGTGATGAGGAGAGAAAGAAGTCCAGCGGACGAATTTGTTGTCCAACTTCTTGATGTGGCACTAGACCGTATCCATGACAGGTCTAGATGGAGGTGTTGTGTAGGTTTAGTGTAGACCGGTAGACCCGAGAAGTTGACATCGGCCATGGAAGCGGTCGGTTGCCATCGCTCTTTAGCGCCCAATCCCGCATCGGTACAGTTGACTACGGTTTACTTACCTCGCAAGTGCTCATTCAGACGTACCTTGGTGGAGAAGAAGTCATGATTCATTCGATCCGATTCCCTCAAAGGACAATCCGGCTGCTTGGCGCCCACCGCGCGAACATGCGCAACGAAGTGGCGGGATCCCGACTCATTCGACTAAGAACTCGCAACGCGCCAGACGATACGATATCAAGGAAAGTTTGACTCTGAAGTGCTGGAAATCCTGAGAAAGCATTCCGCTCGACGAATAACCACGTGTGGAATCAGAATGCGTCTCAGCAATGTTGGCTCATTGGGCCTCCTTAACCCCCGAGAGCTCCACAGTGTCTTACTGTCTGACTCTGAACATGCTTGAGAAAGAAAGGAAAGGAGGAAGCAGCCTAAAAGGCCAGCGCATTGACGTGTCTTTTCTTGTGCATTGTTTTCCCCCTCCGTCTCGCCTCCGTCTTCCGAGTCAGAAATAACGAGATCTGAGCTGACCTTGTGGGCTGATGGTTGGTAAGCTGATTCACATAATTAGTTAGCCGACTCACTAAATAGTGAGTTACAACTTACGAAGTATGCTTTTCGTGCTACCCTGGTCGGTTGGAGATGCTAGTTTGATGGCGGTCCGTAGTTCCCTAACTACTAGTCAGTAGTTACTCGATTTATTGGAATGGTCCAAGAACCATTATTATGCGGACGACGGTCTAGTGATCTCCGTAGTCTATGACGCCTTTGTTGACCGAGAAAGCATCCTGTCAAGTGTTTATGCGGTGTACGGCGTAGCTTAAATCCGGATCCCTCAAATCACTCTATCAACAAAAAGGAAATCCTTAAGGTGACATTCTCATCAGCCCTTCTTATTTCCTTTTTCTTTCCGTTACATTTCTTTTGTTTTTCTCTCTCGTTTTTACGGGGCATTGGTCAAATCTAAGAATTGAATGTACGTCATATGCTGGGCCAATTGGCAATTGTGCCAGACAGCCATGCCAGTGAGAAGGTGGCATCGGAGAATACCGAGGAGAATTTCAGATCCCCAACACTGCGCTGGAGGGGAAAAACTAGCGATCGCCTCCCCGCTAAACACGAGAAGCTGCATCTGGAGCATGCCGTCTTGTTCGTTCTAGAACGAAGAGGATTCTCTGGGAAGAAAGTACCGGGGGGTGGGAAGCTGTCGGGTCCGAAACAAAGGAAAAGGGTGACAAGAAAACAAAGAATAAATCAGATAAATTAAATACCTAAATGACACTAAATTCAGAGAGAGAGAGAAAAACATGGGTAACCCTTCAGCCGTACGACAGGTCGCCTTCGGGATCGTTGCACATCCAACCTAGATCATGTTTCTTTGCCTCCACAGGGCAGCTCACTAATGCATCCGTAGGGAATTTTTTCAGAAGTTGACGGAAACTCCCGCGTACAGACTACAGAGTCAAGGTTCTCCCGATATAAAGAAGCATACATACTCCGTAGAGGCACCCTCAGAATGAAATTCGTATATACCTTGCAATAATTAACCTCAGCCTCTCCCGTCGATCAGCGATCGGGTTGCTCTTCGCTTGTCAGGCTGACACTGACAGTCATCTTTAACCCCGACTCCAGTCAGAATACGCATCTTGTAGTTGCCGTCCCATTTCTTTTTTTATAAAGCGTCCCAAGTGGACCACGTCCGAACGCCCCCACTTGAAGTTTCAGTGCGGTTGGCTTTTCCTAGTTTCCGGTTCCCATAGTTTTTTTTTTTTTTTTTTTTCTCTGCCACTCTGGACTGGTCTGGCGCATCTTGGTTCAGATCGTCTTGGCTGCGGCGCTGTCAATTTGATTTTGAATTCTCCCATCCTCTCTTTTTTTCTTTTCTTTTTTTTTTATCAATTTTGTTTTCTTGCCCCCCTTAAGACTTTCTTTTTTCTTATTTTCTCGCTGGGCTGCCCGAGGCTTGTGGGATTGTTTACTTTCTTTTTCCTTCGAGGGACACTATGCCCTGATCTTCTTCGTATATCCCCTCCTATTTGTATATCTCCTTCCACCATCGTTTCGGCATATCGGATTTCTGAACCCCTGCCGTGCAACATTTCAAATCGTCCTGGGGGCTTGGATTCCCACGCATCATATTACTATATTTACGGAGCATGCTCGGTTGACCCGGCACCGTATTTTTCTATTTGATATCCTTATCCCCTCTACTTGCAACGGTCGTTTCAGTAGTTTTGTTCAAGACACCGAGTTTCCATTCCAATGGCAACTACTCTTCATGGTACGGCGGTTATCACCGGTGCGAATGGGTCTCTCGGATCCGAGGTCGCCATCGCCATCGCCAAAGCACAGCCGTTCGTGCATCTGATGCTGCTTGCCCGGGATATCCGCTCGGATAGTGTCAAAGAACTAACGGCGAAGCTCCGCTTGATCGGGCCAAGGTCCGTCGAGGTGCTGAGGGTTGATCTGGCCAATTTCAATTCCGTGGTCAGCTTCGCGCAGAACACCGTCGAGAGAGTCCAGAGCAAGGAGATCCCGCCGGTGACCTTGCTGATCAATTGCGCCGCCGTTTCCTCGTACGTCGCTGATCAAGCAACGCGGGATGGTCACGATCCCGTCTACCAGACCAACAGCATTGCTCCCTTCCTCTTGACCGTCACCCTGCTCGAGGCTTTCCGGGCCGGCGACGGCACCCCCAACGGTGGAGCGAAGATCATCAACATCGGATGTGCCTCTATGTCCAAGGGATCCTTGGATTACTTCGAGAAGCACGACCCCAGCGACCCGAGTCAACGGCCCGGGTCGCCCATCAGTGCGAAGGATGGAAATATTCGGTATGGAAGCAGTAAACTCTTGATGAGTGCCGCCATGTATGCGTTGCGTCGGAGTTTGGTCCTGGTGAGCCACCCCTCTGTTTGTCTCTTCCTCGATTGTCTGAGTGTCGCATCCGCTAATCAACGTTCGGCCCGATTAGACCGGCAGCATTTCGCTCAATATCTTTACCCTCGACCCCGGCACCTTGACGGGTGAGAACCACCTCACAACCGCCGCGCCCCTATCGGTTCGCATGGCACACCAAACTCGATCTGGACTCGGCCCATTCCTGCGAGTGTTCTCGAAGAGTGCCATCAACAAGGCCACGGTGCCGGCCAAGATCATTGCCAAAATTGCCTTCCAACGGGAGACGGTGGAGAATTGGGGTAGGGAGCGATACTTCATCCTGGACAGCGAATACGAAGCCGGGTCCGTGATCCCGACATTGCGAGACCCCGCGCAGATGGACGCGTTGCTCAAGAAAGTAATGCGACAAGTCGAGATTGGAATCAAGGGAATGGGATCGCCCGAGTCACGGATATCGCGGTTGACTGCACAGTGAAGCAATTGGGCAAAAGTTATTTGATTTTCTGGTTTGTTGGAGTTTTCTTCTTTCTTCCTGAACAAGGTCAATCAGCATTTTCAGCATTCTTTCACGGGAGTTTTTGGTCTTGTATTGGTCCGGGCATGTGCATGGGAAATTATCTTGTGGGATAGGATAGGATTGTTTCAGGGTCTTGTGTAAATAGACGACCGACAACATCAACACAACATTTTTCATCTTCTGTTTTTGGCACGGAGTAAAATACCGCCAATCATTGTAGAGCATGGCATCAGCATGCCAGAGATCGATAAAGTACAAAGTAGCATTTCCCAGGGATCGGCTGCGGATGGGAGGCCGCGACAGACCGCAAACGGGAGGAAGGGCGAGGTTCATTTCCGGGTTCGGCGAGCGGGAGGCGGAGTCCATCGGTCGAGAATCCAACGTCTTTCCACCTGGCGCTTTGGTCGGCCACCCTGCACTAAGACTACGTCCTGCCGACGCAAGCCCAGGTTACATACGATCCCGATCGCCTGTCGTTCGTTTCTCTCCCTTTTTCCCTGGAGTCACCACCGCTTCGATCTTTGGTTATTTTGTGCTTCAGCGCACCCTGCGATCCCTTGACTCCCGACTTGATCACCATCTCCTGCCACATCCGCCTCTGAACCCGCTTTTCTCGCCGCGAAGTTCTGGAGGGAGCTTAGCCTGGGGCTGTCTCGGCGGGATCCAGGGTCTACTGCAAGGTGTCTTTGTCGACGGGTTTTGCTGACCAGCAGCATATGCTGCTATTCCTGGAGCCATGAATAGGCATCACGCCTTTGCTAACGGGTACGCTGCTTACCCTCGGGGGCAGCAGGGCGGTACCTTCTCGATCTCTCCTCATCGGTAAGTGGCCCGGTTTGTTGTCGCATAGCGTCTACTTGCCCCCCTAGTGTCTCTCGGGGCGGATGGGTCGCATCGTAATTGATCGCGCTACCGATTTAAAGAATACAAAAAGTCCCTTCCACTGACTTGTTCGTCACTCGCTAGTTTCCAACCGCGTCCCCAACCCGCCCTGCGACGACGAAGACAACTCATCCATCGATTATGTTTCTTCGGAGGTATCTCGTTGTTCCTCCTGGTCCTAATATTTCCTTCCTGGCGGGCTGCACTGCTGCCGGCGTTCTCCCTCGGGCTGGTCTCATCCAGCGATGACCTACACATTCAAACAACGCGATATTACGACCTGTCCAAGACGCAGGGTACGGGAAGTGGCTGGGAAAATGAAGAGCGTGTCCTCATGTGCACACCTCTCCGAGATGCCTCGTCGCATCTACCGATGTTCTTCTCGCATCTCCGAAATCTGACGTACCCGCACAACCTCATAGACTTGGCGTTCCTGGTTTCGGACTCGAAGGACGGGACACTAGAAATGTTGTCGAGCATGCTGGATGATCTTCAGAATGACGCCGATCCCAAGATGACCTTTGGCGAAATCTCAGTCATTCAAAAGGATTTCGGTCAGAAAGTCACGCAGGATGTAGAAAGCAGGCATGGTTTCGCTGCTCAAGCGGGGCGAAGAAAGTTGATGGCCCAGGCACGGAATTGGCTGCTGAGCGCCACTCTTCGTCCGACTCACAGCTGGGTTTATTGGAGAGATGCGGATGTCCAGACGGCACCGTCCACTATTATAGAAGATCTCATGCGACACGACAAGGATGTTATTGTGCCGAGTAAGTGGCCCGCTTTTCGAGGGGAACTTAAACCTCGGTCTTTTACTATCTCCCTTATCTAATCATTGGTTTATCAGATGTTTGGCGACCCTTGCCCGACTGGCTAGGCGGAGAACAACCCTACGACCTAAACTCTTGGCAGGAATCGGATACGGCCTTGGCCTTGGCCGAAACGTTGGATGAAGATGCAGTGATTGTGGAAGGATATGCCGAGTACGCAACGTGGCGGCCTCACTTGGCCTACCTCCGCGATCCTTACGGCGATGGCGATATGGAAATGGAGTTAGATGGCGTCGGTGGCGTCAGTATACTTGCGAAAGCGAGGGTATTTCGTGCCGGAGTCCATTTCCCGGCTTTCAGCTTCGAGAAGCACGCAGAAACCGAGGGTTTTGGCAAGGTAAGACTAAAGCTCGCTCGGGTTCATTCTCAAGTCATCCAATGCTAACATCGACTAGATGGCTAAACGTATGGGATTCTCTGTTATCGGCCTGCCGCACTACACCATCTGGCATCTTTACGAGCCCAGCGTGGACGATCTCCGACACATGGAGGAAATGGAACAAGAACGAAAGGCCCGCGAGAAAGAAGAAAAGGAGCAGGCCGAACGGAAGGAACGGGTTCAGAATATGTTCGAAGACACCAGGACCCAGTGGGAGATCGACAATGCGTTCGTCCGTGATTCGATCGAAGAGGAGCAAAGGGAGCAGAAAGCCTCAGAGCCTGTGTCCAACGAAGACCCGAAAGCGCCTGGGAACAGGCCTGCCGCAAAGGAGGCGCCCGAGCAGAAAGACCCGAAAGATCCGAAGATGCCGGAGCCATTGAAGGACAATGACATCCAGAACTCCGGAGAGGTTCCCGCCATCAAACCGGCCAAGGGACGTGTCGATACCATAGACAATGAACAAACCAAACCTTGAGGGGTTTAGATCCTTCCTCATCTTGAGGAAGGAGCCGAAGTCGAAAAGTCGACGACGGGTAAAGCCACCACTGTTTTACAGCAACTTGCATCTATTTCCTGTGCTGGTCGCAGGGTAGCTGTTGTCTTTTATGAAAACATGCTTATTCGAAGGGGGAGTGTTTGGTTGCTTACATGGGGTTTATTGGTTAATATTCTGGTTCTGGTGAAAGGGGAATCATGGCTCATTTCAGGAGGGTTTTTTATTTTTCTTATTCTCTGTACTGATGTATTGCTTATAGATAGACAAAGATAACTTTTTATCGGCTTTTCTACAAAGTAAATGGAGTACACCGTAAGCATCGATAGTATCACAAGAGAATCTATCAGAGCGATAAGCGGTGGCCCGTGCGGCCCTCACGCGTAGCGCGTTCAAATTACTTTGCCTCAATCGGAACGGATAAGATAGTTACGGTCAACTCTTCCCAGCTCTCTCCTCCTGTCTGCTCAAACATCGCCCCAATCCGAAGTCCAGACATAGTCGCCAATTACCCCACAATGTCGACTCAAGCTGCGCGAAGCATCCTGTTCACACACACGACCCCGCAACAAGGGTTCAGACTGCTAGAACTACCACCCGATCTAGCAGAGCAGCTCTCATCCAAAAACCCACCCACGTAGGTTCCCAGTCGCCAATCCAGTCCAATTACCTTTCCTACAGACGCCCGCTAACCATTATTTTTCATTTCAGCCTCGAACTAAAATCCCCCGCTCCATCCCTCCCATCGCCCGCGACCAACCCCGAAGAAGCCCGCGAATTCGTGAGCCTCTGCACTGCAACACAAACCTACCGCATCCGACAAGTCCAATCTTCGAACTCGCTGCTCGTGGTCCAGCCTAGCTCTGGCGGTGTGCAACGAGGCGACATTAGCATCGTCGGCGGAGACCAAGACGAGCTGGGCCTCGTGGAGACCGTGACCTCGGTTTCGAAATGCGGGTCAACGCTGGAGCTACATACCCCGGCGGAGGGGTTCTCGGCGGTTCCGTTTATGGAGCGGATACTGAGCGTTTATGATGTCGTGAGTAGCGAGGGGAGTGGTCAGGAGGAGGAGGACATCGATCCGATCGAGAGGCAGGAGGTTTTGCAGCGCGTGTTGGCCGATGTTCCTGTGAGCCGCGGGCAGTGTGAACAGGGCTGGATCGAGCTGTGTGCGTTTGTGCGGCCTCGTGGTGAGACAGAGACAGAGGGGGGTCAGGATGTGAAGGGCTGGTGTTGGCGGCCATCGGCGAGGGTCAAGGTTGATGTGTGGAAGCGGGCGGTTGAGGGCTCGGTGCTTCAGGGGATTGATCTGGGGAAACAGTTCCTTGTCTCGGATCTGTGGAGGTCGGTGCTTGAGGAAGGGGGTGAGGAACCGTATCCCCAGCCGTTGTTTGAGGCGGTTGTGAGGAGGGTCTGTGAATCGGGGTCTGAGCGAGATCGGTTGCTGGATGGGACGAAGATGAAGTGTAAGTGCTTTCTAATGAGCCGATGTTGGAAATGTCCGCTAAACACTGTGGAATGAACAGGGGCAAGTATCCACAAGACGAACTGCGCGCGATGGGTCGGCGAAACATGTCTGGAGGCTATGGCGCCGACGTCTGCTTCTGCCATCGGGCGGGATGACTTCTTGAAGGCATGGAGAAACCATCTGCCTGAATCCTGGCAGGATGAAGTCAAGCTATCGAAATTAACTGTGAGTGAAAATTTGTTCTTGGTTTGGTTCGAAAATATATTTGCTATGATCAAGTCTAACACGAGTGTGTTCGTGCAGGAAAACTCCTATAAACATCCCGAGCCCACCACGATCTGCTTCGTCAACGAACCGGATCGCCAAAAGGCGAAAAAGAATGTCTCGACCGACGCCAGCGCTGCGACAGCAGCCAAAAAGACCCGAAATTGGCACGAGCTGTTCAAAAACCAGAAGCGACAGAAACACTAGATTTAATCCTAATTCGGGCTTCGGTGGCCAGCAGGCGCACCATCTCTTATGTTCAACGCAATCTATTAGCAGCCAAATAAGTCACCAACACCGTGAACAGAATCGTCCCTGGTACTCTAATGAAGGAAGCGAGTCTAACACCAAGCGAACTTCTCATTCAAGAACCACTGCGCGTCTTTCTTTCCTTGCTTGGTGCCATTCCATCTCAAGCAAGCAATGCTATCATTCTCTCGGTGGACCACCTTGGCAGCTGGATCCAGGAGAGCAACTGCCTTCTCCAGCAAGGGAGTCGGGTTCCAAAACTCAATCGTGGCCATGTTCCATTCATGTGCCTCGAGTTGAGCGCGTCTCAATATCGCAGCCATAGCCTTGGTGGTTGTCTCGGCCTCGGCCGGCGACGTTGGCTCATCATATATCCATCGGAGGATGTACAGCGTGTTTTCCTCGGGGGTCGCGCCAAAGTTTCTGTTCCAAACACAGTATACCCCAGACTTGGTGTCGCCGGCACCCTTGATGAGAGGCATACCCTTATCTGTGTGGAGCTTCTCGGCGCAGTACTCCTCTCTAGCCCAGTGCCACTTGAAGTGGTCGAAGTCTGGAATAATTGCTACTTTAGCGCCAAGGGAGTTCCGGGAAGCGGCTCGCAGCACTTCGCGTTCGTCCGATAGAACCTTGTCATTACACACGTACCGCTGCACGTCGTGGGCAAGCAAGGGTTCCGCATTAGGCAAATCGACTCCGGCAAGACCCAGGTCATATTCAGCCTTGGAGGTCGGTGGAAGCTCAAAATGCGAGGATTGAAACGGCTTCCAGCCAAATTGGGCGTAGAAGGTCTTCCCAATGTCCGAGAATAGGATGCTGAATTCCGATCGGTTCACTGCCTTGTTGTCGTGCCATTTGTCCAGTATGATGCTCAGCTCCTGTAACATTCGCTTCGCATATCCCTTGCCTCGGAATTCCGGCCGGCAGTATACGCTCCCAACGCCATGACAGGTGACGTTGTTCACTTCGCCGTCTTGCGCTAACATTGCCGTTTTCACATACGTCTCGCACGAGCCCAGGATTGTTCGCTGCCCTTCCGGTTCTTGACGGTCGACCAGAATCCAGCAGGTCAATCCATCTTTGACCAAGGGCTGTTCGAGGAGATGGTCCTCTCGCCCGATGTACGTGTCAATGTCGAATCGACCTTTCCATACGGCACTGTTCAACTTGATAGTCTCGATGCGTTCCTCCGGCGAGGCTGGCACGAGAACCAGCTCTGGCGAGTCTCCATGTGGCAGGACCGTGGCGTCAGGGTAAGAGGCGATCATAATGGTTTATTATTTACGAGGTACTGGGTTCCCTCGCAATCGAGTGTCTGTCTTGGGCCACGCGAGGATAAGTGTCAATAGATCAATAAATAGACTTGGAATTGTTCAATATCTTGTCAATTCTCTGGCGTGGAAAGTCAAAAGAAGAAGAACAACCACGACCACGAAAGATGAAGCTCAAGAAGTGGAGAGAAGAACAAATAGCAGCGATGTATATATATTAAGACGGTCCGATATCATATCAGTATGTTACATGCATATACCAGCATTAGCGGTCACACATCATAGGACAACCGTCGGGGAAGGCGGGCGGAGCGATCCAGTATAATAAAGAAACAAGCTGACCGGATGCATGTTCCACAGGCGGTGTTTCTATTTGTAATTTTGGCACGCCCTGCCGGTTACAAGCGATGGAAAGCGAATCAACCCCGGGGCCGCGGCGGCGTGTGTTGACTACCGTGGGTTGTACCTGCCGTTAGGGGTCTCCGTGACGTAGAGGAGGCTGCGGGGGAGACGCAAGGGGCGTCGATGACTCGATAACGGCCTTGGTCAAGTGGAAAAGTCCCAGCTTAAACTTCTCGCCATTCTCCCTTCGGCGGTTAACAATGGATGTTTGGAAGGTTATCCCGTCGGGAAGGCGGTGGAGTACTGCCCGCTCAGCCCTTCACGTGGATCGGTCGATCCCGCTTGGACGCGCTGTTCCTTTCCGGTTTACCTTCTTTCCATCATGCTTCCTGGTCGCTCCTTCGCTCTGATCTAGATGGATGGACGTGTCCGCGATTCCGTTGCTGATCTGTCGCCATTATGACTTGTTTCAGATGACACATGATGATTTGATAACACGAAACTGATGAGAATTGATCAATCTGGCTGTCTGATTGATAGATCACCCGTACCTGACGTTGTACACGGCAAACAAGCACAGCCTCAACAACAGCCCTCCTCTCCGGAACACCTGATCTCTGAGCTATGCTCCTTTCGGGAGCTTTCAGTCACCTGAGAAGGAACCTTCCTGATGTTCCGGGGTAATCTTCCGGCCGCAACGGGCAAAAAGAAAAGAAATGAGAAAAGATGATCAAAGGAGCATTCACTTTTTTATCTGCCCCTGAAATTAGCCCTGTTCACTATTGGGTTGTTCTGGGCAACATTTTAATAACAACTGACTGGTCCTCGGATTCATGCAGGGAGCTCGACTCAAATTGAACCAACGAGCATCAAGCACAGTGGTGGGGTCAAATAGGCTGCTGGAAAGCTCTTCCTCCCCTTCTTTTTCTTTTCAGAGGTCTATACCTCTCCAGGAAGCACAAGACTGTCCCTCAGTTGACCCTGGTCTTCTGCAGCCGCGTTTTATTGATTGTCCAGTCGTCAAGGTTTCGCCTCGAGCGCTCTGCTCTCATCGTGTCGTAATAACCCCGTTTCTACCATCATAGTGAACCCATGGACCTGCAGTTTTCATAACTCTATGAATATCTAACTACGATTCAGTTTTTCGTCTTCTGATTTGCCTCAGCTTGTCTGCCGCTTTCCACTAATCATACTGAGCCTTGCCCTACCCCCAACCCCCCTATCGTCCAGTTATACCCTACTGCGTCTTCATCCTTTCATATTACCTCATTATTCCTTGCGTTTCTTTCCCTCAGTTTCCTCTACTCTGACGGCAAAACGCGGTTTCCATGTTTCCATAGCTCTTTCACAATGGCCCAATTTCCCATCGGTAACAGAGACATGCGGGGTGAAGAGAACAACGGCCGAAATCGTTGGGACGACCACATGCTGCCGGGTGAGAATGATCTTCTACGTTGGGGGCTCAGCAGGCAAATGCTTGCCATGGGCGATGACGCGGATTACTTCCGTTTATCCAATTCCAGGCCCCCGAAGAGAGGAAGGACTGGCGATCCCGGCACCACCCTGGATACAGCAATTCCTGTTGACAATCCTTTCCCCATAGACCCTGCCCTTCGTCCCACTCTCTCCCAAACCAACGGAGATCGCGATTCGTCGATTGCTGCGCCGAAAATGGATGACAAGGTGCTGGCTGGAATCTTAGAGATATTTCCGGACATCAGCCATCAATACGTGCTTGAACTCCTGGCGGCGCGTCAACCCCCAGCGTCGAACGGTGCATCCAACGTGGTGGATGGTTATGTTCGAATAAAGGAGGACCTTATTGAGCGGATCCTAACACAGGATTCCTACCCTAAACAGGAAAAAGCCAAAAGAAAACTAGAACAGACAGACGATGGCTTAAAAAAATGGGAAGTGGCTGCTGCAGGCGCTGATAACCCTTCATACATCCAGAGAGTGTGAGTCTTCCCCAACTGCTGTCTAGAGAACCGTGACGACCACTAACAATTCCCTAAAGCTGCGATGTCCTAGGCCAGGAGTTTCTTCGCGTTCCCGTTACTTACATTCGTCAAGTTATGACAGAGAAGAAAGGTCTTTACACTGCTTATCTTACCATATATCGTCAAGAAATGTTGCCAGACGACACCGACATCCCGTATGCCAGATTGAAGAAGCCGAGAACCCTTGATCAAGGGAAATATTTCAACTTTCGGAGTTTGGCGGAGCTCGGAGCTGCAAAACAACAAGCGCAAAAGGAAACAGGCAAGGAATACCCCCCTCCCCCAGCGAAAGATCTTCAACGCAAGCTTTTCTAACGAATGTTTACTTTGCTTATAGTCGCACTACAGAAGCGAAAAGAAGAAGAGGAGCTGGAAAGGCGGAACGAAGAGGAATCTGCTCAAGATGGTACTCTAGTGGAGTGCCAGTGTTGTTACACTGACACTCCGTTGAACAGAGCCATGCCTTGTGAAGGAGAAACTGCTCATTTCTTCTGCTTTACCTGCATACGTAAATCGGCAGAGACTCAAATTGGGCTCATGAAGTGGCGCCTGCAGTGTTTTGACACTAGCGGCTGCCAGGAGAACTTTGATCGTTCTCGATTAAAGCAAACGTTGGGGCACTCCCTGATGAAGAAGCTTGATTCTTTGCAACAAGAGGACGAGGTCCAACAAGCCGGCCTGGAGGGACTCGAATGTTGCCCCTTCTGCGATTTCAAGGCCATTTGCGGCCCGGTGGAAGAAGATCGAGAATTCCACTGCCAGAACCCTTTATGTGAGAAAGTCAGCTGTCGTCTATGCAACGATGAAAGTCATACCCCCAAAACCTGTCAAGAGGCCAAACAGAAAAAGTGCCTCCCGGAACGCCATACGGTTGAGGAAGCTATGAGCGAAGCCCTCATTCGGAATTGCCCCAAGTGCAAGGTCAAGATTGTCAGGGAATCCGGTTGCAACAGAATGCAATGTTCCAAGTGCGGCAGTAACATGTGCTATATTTGCAGACAGGACATCTCACACGATCTCTATAACCATTTCGGCAAGGCCCCTACGTTCTGCAAGACATATGATGATCATGAAGAAGACCGCCATGAGTATGAAGTGGACCGGGCTCAAAAAACGACCATTTCCGAGGTTCTCTCGCAGAATCCCGACTTGACCGAGGATGATCTCCTGATAGACGAATCTACCGCGGGTAAAACTTCAAAAACTGCACCACGACCTAAGCGCGCACATCAAGAATTTCACCCGGCTGCATTCCCGGTACAGTTCGTACAACATCGTCAATCTTTGCACGCCGATGCTGCACCAGAGAACCACATCATGTTCAACCGTTTTGACGGCTTGCCGCCTGCACGTCGCGAGCCCCGGAATATGCAAGATCAATATGCTTATCGTGAATTTCTGTATCAGCAGCAGCGTCATCCTCGACATGTTCCTCACATTCCTCCCATTCCTCCCATGCCTCGCGACCCTCTATTTGATCCCACAGAAATAATGTCAGGACGTCAACGCGCGAATGACCAGGGATGGCTCCCGAAAGCCCATCGTTTCCCTCCGCTTTAAACTAGGGTTATGCCTTGTATATCTAATATCAACAAGCAAACACGGTTTTCACTGACTAGGAATTACACCACAAGCAACCTCACCCCCGCTCAAAACTCGAACTACTCAGTGTGCTTGCCGCCTCCTTCTCACACCAGGCTAACATGTTACTACAAATATTTTGACATGCATCATCTCACGCCATCAATCTTACGCTTACTATGACGGAGAGAAGGTTTGTACAAGGGATCCTTGTTCAACCCACCTTGAAAAAAACGACTGGTCTGTTACCGATAACACCATGTCTTTGTCTCTGGCTGTGACTTTTCTTCCTTCCCTTTCATGTCGATTCCGTGCTTTACGCACCTCTTTTTCAATTGTCTTTCTCAATATTCAGATTTGCCTGGTTTGTTTGCCTTGCCCCTTGTCTGCCCCGATTTTCAGATATGGTACCCCGTAGTACGGACACAATCTCCCGTGCATATGGATGCTTCCCGTTCAGACGAGAAGGGACAAGGGTTGACTATTTTGACCTCAAAGCTCGAATCTCTCCTGCTTTCCTTGGCTGACTGAGTGATTCTCATATTTCGGCCGATTCCAGTTGTCTTTCCATGTCACATTCCTTCCTTATGTGCCTGGTTATGCCGGTCAGTTGGGTTGGAGATACTGGTAACTCTATCAATTTATCTCAGCTTTTCTATTGACTATCCCAATGCTTACTGTACGAGATGCGGCCAATGTTACTTATTCATCTCTGCATTGCCTAATCGGGACAATTTTCAAATGCCATGCACGTTCAGCACTACCTAACCATAGATAGCTAGGCAATCCATACCAATGTCTGTTTCGAATATAACTTACCAGAGTAGACTATCGCCTAGGTTGGATTCAGATCCCCTCGTGCTCACACCTAACAGACTACCTATAATCAGAGTAGCTAGAGGTAGCTAAACAAGTCAACCTGAAGACGACAACTCCGATGAGTCTGATGGAGGGAGAGGAGTGTCGTCTTGAAAATAAGATAAGCTTGCATAACTTCCAAGGTCTTTTAAACCATTCAACGGTATAGTATGCACTATACGAGAATCCACCGAAGAAGTCTCTTATATCGATGCAGTCTAGTTAGTTTTCGGTACTCTATCCTATCTACTCTGTGTTACTTTTAATTAACTATCAAATTGACTACCAGCTTGATATAAACTCTCTCCCTCCATATCAGTAGTTCCTCCGTCGAAAGGGGGGCTTTTTATTCATTTCTCTGATATGATATCCTTGGTTGGTTTCATTTTTGTTAGGGTTCGTTTTATACTATTTACTTGAGATCTCTCGTACTCTCATGGTATCCAGAAGAAGATGTTTACGGTCCGGTCATTCTCATAATCCGGTGCATATAGGTACTTATGTATGTCCATGTACATACTTAATCGAGTAAGCTAGATACTGTTCCCCTTCTAGATAGATAAATAAACAAATAAATACAGAAGCACATCCATTCACATCTATATAAGTAGTACCTGTATAGTCCCGAAGCGATAACCAGGAACAAGTAACCTAATCTACGATTCTCCAGTCCCATCTTCTCTCTATGCTGTCCGTCTTCAGATATGAATTCAACAGAATCATGTGTATATACCCATATAGCTTCTGCGTTCATTTCCCGTGGTCTTTCTTCTCTTCCGCCCTCCACCCTCGTAGACCGGCACGTTTCATGGCACTGCATTTCATCATCAGTCATATTCAATGAACGAGAACGTACCCCGTCGGTAGAGACCTTCTTTCCGCATAGTTAGATGATATGGAACAGTTCTAGACAAGAAATTGAACCTAAACATGCATGAAAACAACGAGACCGAGGATATGCAAAAACACCAAACAAACGATGCAAAACCAACTCGAGGTGATCAAAGAAGGGATGATATTAATTACGGACAAGGTTCGACAAAACCATCTCCACTCTGGTGACAACGCTGGCGACCTTTTGGTACCTAGATGCTAGATAGTTGAATTGGCTAGGGTCATGTTCGAGAGCTCAACAAAGGAGACGAAAAGTACAATAGGAGATGGTATGAAAAATGGAAACATTCCGTGGCAAAAAAGAACAGGAAAAAGTCGGTGGAAATGATGAGTTAAAAAGAAAGGTGGTAAAAGAAGCAGGAAAAAAGTTTATAGTGAAGAAAGTTGGAAAAGATGAGCACCAAAGGAACGTGACGAGGAAACGTGTAGAAATGGCAAAGAAAAGAAAATGGAGGGAGAAAAAATATGAACCAGATCTATGTAATGCCATGCGAGTCCCAAAAATCGTCCGCTCCCCATTTTATATATTTGCGCCGCTCACTTCGGACGACAATTCCCAATTTCCTCATCCATCATGTATGTTCGATCATTGGTCACGCTAAAACAAGAATGAGATAAAAACGGGAGAAAAAAAATAATGATAGTAAAAAAAGAAGAGACGTTGGAGTGGAAATAGAAGAGGACAACTTCGAACTAGACAGACAGAAACAATAAGAGGGATTTCCATAAGGGAACAAAAAAGAAAGAGTTGCAAAAAAGCGATCAAAAAAAACCAAATGAACCCCGATTATGCAATTCAAGGCGGATGTTCCGAATCAGGCGGTTCATTGAATTTCTGTCGTGCCTCTTCTACCCATAGCTCTAGGCGAAGTTCGCCGGCTTCTACCCGTCGTACGGGAACTGTTTTCGCGCGACCGTTCGAAACCCTAGTTGGGGGTTGTTGTGGTTGTGGTTGTTGTTGCGGCTCCCCATTCCTTAACTTCGACACGGAGTAGGGGGCGGTACACGACCGCAGGTGAACCTTGTCGGGTTCGGCCACGATCCAGGTTTGTTCTTCCGTCGTGGTTCCGGCGGGAGGCAAAGCATCCTCCCGAACTTCAATGCAGACGGTGAAGCTGAATTCATCGTCCCGGGGGAGCGGCGTTAACCGCGCACAGGCAGAGGCCAATCTGGCGAGGCAAGCACGAAATTGGGCTTCGAGATCGGGCGTCGGAGCAGCGGAGCCCCGTTCTGACAAGGGGACACCTGGTTTGGATGAATCTTCCTTTCTCTCTTCAAAAGTGGTGTTGATCTCTCCGGCGGCAACGCGGGGGAAACCCGATAGATCAAAGGCATATCGCTCGAGGGGCTGATTTGTGCGGAGAGATGAAATGATGATACTGACTGCGGTTATTGTGCCTTTCAGAATCTCCGTCCCAACCGCGATCGAGGCATCGTTGATGTAGTCACATACTTTCGGGTGACGGGACTGGCGAACGGGGTAGTTGTAGGCTCGGACAGGCAAGAACGTTGCTCGCGGGTAAACCGACCGGAGGAACAAGATCTGGTGTATCGAGACGGTGAGGAAATTGGTGAACGATGCAGCCAACGCCGACTGATTGTTGGGCATCGATTTGGGTGCGGTGACGGGGGCGGAAAATGTTGTCATGGTGGTAGTAACGGGGTTGACAGTAGTGCTCTCACTGGCAATCGGCATTGCCGTCGAAGGCTCTGGTATCGTCGGTTCCACGGGAAAGATGGTATTGACGGGATCTCGGAGAATCTGAGTGCTGTTCCACCCTGAGGCTAATCATCGCTCTGCCTTTTCAACACGATGGGTCAACAACGGTTTTCCTTGCCACGCATGAGAAATGACGGTGGCTTCGCTCGCTCGCTCGCTCTTTTGCTCTCTCTCTCGCTTTGTCAAAGTAGTGATTTTTCCCCTGCTGCTTTTTATGCGGCGACAATGGAAGGGAAGGAGGGGAAGGAGGAAGGCGAAGGGAGAGTGGGGGTGATGAATGGAGGGGAAATTTTTTTCGTCGGTGGGAATAGCGAAAAGAGGGGAGGAAAGACAGGGAACCCCAAAGATGAACTTTTTATAAGGACAATAGCCGCGAAGAGCAGATGTAAAAAAAAATATGCAAGAGGGGGTAGGGAGGGGAAAGAACAGAAAAGAAAAAAGCAGACAATAAGAGAAGAGTATGTAGCGACAGGATCGAGTAACAGTACAATTAAGCTAAGAAAAAAGAAAAAGAAAAAAAAGGCAAATTAAAAAAAAAAAGGGTCGCAAATGTCAAAAGTGACTGATGATAAATTTTGGGGGAGGAGGGGGGAGGAGGGGAGGGAGAGGGGGGCAACACCAAAGATGAGGAGTCTCAGGTGGTGTGGAAAGCAAACGGGAACGAATGTTTGAAAGGAAAGCGAGGGAAAGAGAGAGAGAGAGAGAGAGAGTAAGAGAGAGAGGGCGAGAGGGCGAGTCAAGGGAGCGAGAGCGAATGAGGGTGGGAAGGAGGGGAAAACAGTGGATTAATTGTGGTTTGCCAGAGGTAAGGAAGGGACCGGACGTACGTTTGGGTGGACGAAAAAGAACACAAGCAAACCTCAGAGCATGAGTGGAATCGTCTTAGCCGTAGATAGGAGATAGTAGAGGTAAATAGATAGATAGATAGTTTCAGAAGAAGAAACGAGGCGTAGAGACAAGACGGTAGGTTTTTTTTCCCCCTTGACCCTGTCTGGAATATCTTTTTAGTTTTATTTTCTTTTTTGGCTCCCCTCTCTCTCGGAAGTTTTTGTTCCTGGAAACCTTCTTCGTCCTTCTCTGTTCTTGATAGGAGCAGAAAAAAGGAAAAAGAAAAGAAATAAAAACAAAAATTCGACAAGAAAAAGAAAGGTATTTCTCACGGGAATCCAATCAAAAAATAATACCTTGGCGTTTTTTTGCTTGTTTGCTTATTCAACTTGATTTAATCCCCTTCGTGAACTGGGAAGAGGGAAATGCAGGCGGACCGACGACAGGGAAGACCAAGGGAGAGAAGGTGGGCTGCTGCTTTGCCGCCGCGTTGGCTTAGGAGAGAGTTTGGGATTATGGGGAGAACCCGAGTCAACCAGTGAAGACCGCTCAAGTCCCCCAAGAGGTGTAAAAAAAAAAAAGAAAATAAATAATTCAATATAATATAAAAGGGAAAATAAAGAGAGCGGGAAGAACGCGCAGACCAACCAAACACTACAAGACAAGAAATGAGAAGAGAGAGAGCGAGAGAGAGAAGGAGAGAGGAAGAGGAAGAGAGAGAGCCAGCAAGCAGTTCTTCGGAGGGGAAAGGCTTGTCGGGCGACGAATCTCCAGCAGAAGAAGAAAAGGAAAAGGCGCCCAAGTCACGGTTTGTCCGCCCGTCACGTGGTTGCGTCATGGGTGTGGGTGCGCTGCAGAATTCATTCCTTTTTTTCTTTTTTTTGGCTTTTTCTTTTCCTTTTTTCCCTTTTTCTTTTTTTTTTACATTTCATTTTTTTTCTTTCTAGTATAACCCGTACAGAGTATACCAGACTACCAGTGTACGGAGTACCGTAGTCAGCATTTGAGCTAGAATTATCGGAGGGGCAGCCACGGATACGCTAAAGTGTACTCCGGTCAGAGTGTGAGGATGAAATCAATAGTCAATCATAATATAAACTGGGATGGGGGCGTAGGTCGAGTACCCTGAACAGCATCGTGCTCGTGGCTGTCAATCCCGTTGGTCTTTCGGAGGACTATTAAGATATTAGATTTCCGATATTCAGATATGTATTATCATCCAAGGACTCATGATCGCTTGACTCAAGATGCACCTTGCTCCGTGCTGTACTCCGGTCCAGCGTTAAGAGATGCCCCTACAGGACGCTTCCCTGGCTTCTCCACCGACTTAAAGTGGGTGGTGGGATGAGGCGCTTTTAGTGCACACGGCCGATCATCTCATCGACCGAAAATGCCACAAGCGAAACCTAAGCCGACACGTAGGGACACAGACGGAGGAGATACACCGTAAGGAACGCAACGTCTGCCGGCGGTCAGCAGTCAGATTTCCTCTTCCTTTCTTCACGACGGAAAATAATGCGAGTTGAGATTAAAAAGGATGCGAAGGAAGAGCCAACCCCAAATTACCAAACCGCCAACCGCCCACGATTGCATCATCTGGCCGACTCTAAGTCGTCTTTCCCGTGTTAGCCTTCAGCCTTAATTTCATTGTTGCCTCTTCCCCTGCCGGGGTTCGCGCTCTCCTTGCATATTCAATCATTTCCGGAGTCAATCATTAAATCTTTCGACTTTGTCGTGATTCCTTTTATGTCTGGCTGACTCAGGCATTGCATCGACTAACTATTATTCCCTATACATACTCTGTATGCCGGAGAAGACTCACCAGTTTACCGGTCGAATATCTAGCAACTACTACTGTGTACTCCGTACCCAATACTAATAGCAATTGCCAAATAACGGTGCGATGGAGGCTAGTAGTCGCATTGTACGATCCTGGATCGATCCATCCACCGCAGTAAAATATTGGTACCTGTGCTCCGCTCATCCCGACTTTCGCCTCTTCTTTTTTTTCTTTTCTTTTTTTTCGTTTTTTTCCGTGTCCATTTTCTCCTCTCCGAGGCAACGTGAGTGGAAGAAATCTTACCGGAACGCCCTTCGTGTCTGTCTCCTCCCTCCCCACAGCGCTCGACCTCTTAGCGGCTGCGATCAACTTACAAAGACCTCCCAAGTGGTCAATTACGTATGGCCTGCAGCCGTGCAGCTCCCTCCTGCGCCGAGCAAAGTTATGCCACAGTGTTGATCGTCTCGACAAAAAGGAATGGAATCCGGCCATTACGTCAGGGCAACGCCGGAGAATCGCATCTGGGGTTGAAGGACGCTGCAACCCGCCAAAAGTACAATGCAGGCGAGAGGGTAAGCAATCCGCCACTAAGCGCTTAATTCTCTCCCAGGGACGCCGACTTCCGTTTTCCATGGAGTTCCCTTCTCGATCGCCCATCGGATCTCGGGTGTGACTTTTTGCTGTCTTGGGTTTGGTTTAGCTTGGGGCTTTGGGCCCTTACTGTGTGCTCATTAAGGTCAACTGGAGAAGGATGACTAAGAGTCAAGTCAATTGTTCCATTCTTTGTTCTGAACGAAATTTTTTGATTAAAAAAATGGGTCTCGTGAGGGTGAAGAACCCCCAAGAGCCCCAAGTGTAGCGACAGTAATCTTCAGGCGCAGAGAAGAACCTTCGGGTTTGGGGAGGGAACAACCGTGGTTCATTCAGAGGGCCATCCCTGGTAGCCCAAGGGAACTCCAGTTAGTTAAGTAACTAATCCAGTTAATCTGATTAATCTGTAAAGTGGAACAAAGACAATAAATAATCAAAAAATTGACCGCCGACCGGCCAACGCAGTCGCTCACCGCCTCCCGCATTCTGCTTCCTTTCCAGTCTGCCCCTCCTTCACGACGCGCCCAAATCGCGTTGATGTCAACCAACTAATCGTCCGCTCCACCCCTCGTTCCGCTATCATTGATTTCCTCTGCTGCGGCTTAGGATTTGCAAGGGGTCCTTTTATTGTTGACTTGCTGCATTGGGTGCTACTCATCGGCCAATCCTCCTCGTCCAGCTGGTAACCCAAAAAAAAACAACGTCCCTTCTCTCAACTTCTCCCCACCAACTCCTCCAACTCCTCTAACTATGGAGCAAGAGCTCCTATCGCTCCTTGCCGACACGCAGTCGCCGGTCGCCGATACGAGAAAGGCCGCCGAGCTTCAACTGCTGCGTCTCTACTCCAACGAGAGCTTCCCCCTCTCTCTCGCCGCCATTGCTTCGCATGATTCCGTACCCACCAACCTCCGCCAGTCCGCCCTCTCCGTCCTGCGTACCTTTATCGCCGCCGCCTGGTCCCCCAACTTGGACGACTTCAAGGGCCGCATCCTCATCAACGATGTCAACAAGGATCAGATTCGAAGGGTCTTGCTGGACCTGGCCACCGTGACCGAGACCCCCGAGCGCAAGGTCAAGTCGTCTGCCAGTTTCGCCGTCAGCAAGATTGCCAGCGCCGATTTCCCTGAACAGTGGCCGGACCTCCTGCCGACCCTGCTCCGGGTCATCAACGATGGCAACAGCACCTCGGGGGCTCTGCACGGTGCTTTGAAGGTGCTTCTGGATCTGGTCGATACCGGGTTCAACGAGGAGCAGTTCTTCAACGTCGCCAGGGACCTCGTCTCGTCCCTCTACAACGTGGCCACCAGCGAGTCGAGAAGGCCGATGCTCCGAGCCTTGGCCGTCGCAGTTTTCCGGTCGTGCTTCGATACCCTGGAAATGGTCCTGGAACAACACAAGGTGGCCGTCAAGCAGTTCATGGACGAGGTGCTCGGTGGCTGGTCTCCTTTCTTTATCTCGACGCTAAAGGCACCCTTGCCCGAAGCTCCTGTGGAACAAGAAGAAGCGAAGGAGACCGCGGTCGCTTCCCAATGGAGGGGCGTGATCGGCTTGAAATTGCAGGTGGTGAAGGCAAGTTCTCGATAATACTCTGGTTTACTCCATGCAATCCACAGTGCTAACTATCCCTCCCTCCCCTCAGACTCTGATGAAGATCCGAATGGTGTTCCCTGGCCTCCTGTCCGCCCAAAGTCCTATCTACTTTTCTACAATCTGGACGGAGCTCACGAATATCCAGAATGGATACCATGAGTTCTACATTCACGACGAGAGACAGGGTCGCTTGGAGGACGCCGACGGGCTCCCGTACACCCTGGACTTCCTCGTTCTGGAAGAGTTGGACTTGATTCAAACTCTCTTGAAAGCACCGCCGGTCAAGGCCGAGCTGCAGCAGCAATTGCAGAACGCCGGACAGGCCGTCACTACCTCCAGTTGGTTGCCGGAGATTCTCAAGTTGACCGGATCATATGCCCAAATCACGTCCGAGGAAGAAGGCCTGTGGGACATTGATGTCAACCTGTTCCTTTCCGAAGAGACTTCCGTCACCGCTAACTACACGCCTCGTACCTGCAGTGGTGACTTGGTCATCAAGCTCGGCGAGTGGCTCAAGGGAACTACGGTCGAGGGTCTGCTGGTATACCTAACCGCCGTTTTTGCGGACTCTGCTTCTACGTAAGGACCATTCCTGTTTTTCTGCTTGTTCACCGATGCGAAAGAAGCGAGAAGACGATAAACTAACGAATACTCTCGTGCAACAGGTGGAAGGCCCGTGAATCGGCCTTGTACATCCTTAACCAACTGCTCCGGGACTTCAGCGAGGTCGCCCAGCAGATCTCTCCGGACTTGGCAAATGGATTCAACGGCCTCATCCACTACTCCATTCAGCAAGAGCAGGAGCTTCTCAGAGCCCGCGGCTACCTTGTGGCAGGTATTCTGGCCCAGGTGGCCGGCGAGGCCTTCCAGCCGACCGCCGCTTCTTATCTTGAGGCTACCCTGAAGGCGATCTCCGAAGACCCATCGGAAGTCGTGAAGGTTTCTTGCATTCGAGCCCTGCAGGATCTGCTGCCGGCTCTGTCCTCCAACACCACTATTCCCCTCCAGAACTCCATCATCTCCGCCATTTCCGATTTTGTCTCCTCGCACGATCTCCGCGAACCATCCGACAGCGACGACCTCAAGGTCACTCTCGCTGAGACGCTCCGGGACACGATCATGGTCAACCCGAGCATCGTTCTATCGTCCATCGCCATCGATGTTCTCTTCAATATCGCCAGCAACGGCGCAACCAATTTCCAGCTCACCATGATCGTCACCGAGGCCTTCGAGGACCTGGTAGAGTCCATTGCAGACCAGGGCCCCGATTCCTTTGTCCTTCTCTGCGAGAAGGTCCTGCCTTCTTTGACCGGGGCCATTGACGTTGGCAACCTGACTCAGGAGAACGCGCTGACAAACTTTGCCGCGGATCTCGTGCGTGCTCTTTCGGAGAGAGCTCTCGAGCCCCTTCCGGCCGGATTCGTGGAGACCGTCATGCCCAAGATGAACCGACTGCTGCTGGACTCGACCGACGGGGAGCTGATCCGTCCCGCGACGGAAGCCGTTCGGCACATGCTCTCGCACGACTTTAACCAATTTGTCAACTGGCGGGATCCCCAGAGCGGCAAGGAGGCCACCGAGGTGGTTCTGGTGATTATTGATCGCTTGTTGGGACCCTCCGTCGACGACAACGCCGCGACGGAGGTCGGACAGCTGGCGGCCGAATTGGTCGAGAAAGCGGGCTCCGAAAGACTCGGACCGTATCTGCCCCAGCTCCTCCGAGCCGTGGCACAGCGATTGGCGACCGCCCAGCAAGCGCAATTCATTCAGAGCTTGATCCTCGTTTTTGCCCGGCTGACGCTCATCAGTGCGCGCGAGGTGGTGGACTTCCTGGCGCAGGTCGACATTGGCGGGCAGAGCGGACTGCCGATCGTGATGAGCAAATGGCTGGAGAACTCGGTCAACTTCGCCGGGTATGATGAGATCAAGCAAAACATCATCGCCCTGGCAACGCTGTACAACCTAGAAGATCCTCGATTGGCCCAGGTCCAGGCCAAGGGCGACCTAATCATCCAGGACACCGGTCGCATCAAGACGCGGTCGCAGACGCGCAACAACCCGGATCAGTACACGGCGGTGTCGGCACCGTTGAAGATCGTCAAGGTGCTGGTCGAGGAGCTGGCAGCGGCAGCGGGGAGCAAAGAGATCGACGCGGCCACAGCGGCGGCGCTGGAGGAAGAGGATAGCGACGAGGACGACGAGTGGGAGGACCTCCCCGCCAACACGCTGGATCTGAATCTGGGGGTGACGAAACAGGAACTGATGGCGTTTGGCGAAGGCGGCAGCGAAGGAGTGTTTGGCGTGCGCAAGCGTGACGACGAGACGCAGGCATTTTTGCTGGACTTCTTCCGCAACGCATCTGCCAAGGCCGAGTTCCAGCAACTATTTGCAGCCTTGACGCCGGCCGAGCAGGAGAAGCTGCAGAGTCTGGGATGATTGGATTACGAGCAAAAGACAAAAAAATACCCAAGGCGGGTGATATGACGCAGGGATAGATTAATTACGGGTGATGCATCAGAATCCTTGAACGAAATCTGACGGAGAACCGAACCATTGGGGAATGAGAATACGAAGATCGCTGTCGGGGATGAACGATGAACATACTTAAGGTTCTTGATGATGTGTATGTATTTTGGATCGATGTTGAGACGAAAGTGATTTTGGCAGCGCCCGCTCTTACGAGTAGTTCGTATCTACGGAGTACCTAACTAGTAGGTACATACATAGTTTTCAACATGACATGTCTGGTCTACTCCGTCTCCGTACGGCGGCGTCCTTGCCAACGCATCGCCCAAAAGAAAAAGAAATGAAAAAAAAAGTCCATGAGCAAGGGTGCAGGCTGCGACCGACCGACTGTACAGTAGAGTAAGAGGGGAAGCGCATTCCATCGGCTTCTTCGCTCATGCAACCGAAGGGGGGGAAGATTCACATTGCACTAGCCCAGAGGGAGACAACAAGCGGACTGTATCGACGGTGTTACTAGTAGTACCGGGAGAACGAAGCGAGCCAATAACACGAGGGTATCGAGATTAACTGTTAGAACTTGTAAGCGCCGATGGGAGGCGGTGGGTTTCGCGTCCATAGCGAAGGATGAATAAACGTAAGGTATAAATCTGAGGGTTGGTTTGGTTACTTGGTTTGCATCCCGCGTGTCGGAGGACAATGAGATTGGAAGGACTGTCTACCTGACACGGCAGTTCGCGGTGTCTCGCAAGGTGGTACGGCATCCTGTTCGGGTCCAGCCGTGCGGGGGTTGGAAATACTAAAAAGAACAGACGGATTTCCCGGGGCAAATAAATAAATATTCAATTAACCAATACACAGGAAGGTGTGATCGAGTCAATCAATAGTAAAAGTATTGCTGCAAGCCGACATATGCAATTCTCAGTATTGAGAGGAAGCAGTCCACGGTCATGAGTATGAATTATGATAATTATCATTATGATAATTATCAATAAATCGAAGAATCGTATTGATCGGTCTGCACGGACGAGGCCAATCCTCCCCGGCGGAACCAGAGCTCTGGGCGCACACCGCCGTCGACCCGGCGCCCTCTCTGCCGGGACTAGAACCCCTGTCACTCGGGCCCTTGGGTTGCATCCTGACGATATCCTCTCTACTATGCCACGGGGGGTATTATTCTTCTCTTTCCCTGTCCCTCTCCCTCTTTCTTTCTTTCTTCCTTTCTCTCTTACCTTCCCTTCCCCCCTCTTCTATTAATTAGTGCTCTTTCACATTCTCCCTCCCCTCCCTCCCTCAGTCTCTCTCTCTTTCCATCGTCTGTATTTCTTTCGTCCGTCTTACATCATAGATCATAGACCACACGCCTCCTTCCGGCCCTTCGCTTGCGCAGTCCTGCGTCCGTCGTTGGGAGCATGCCACAACAACCGAATCTCTACGAGCATATTGTGGTGGATGTAAGAGCCATCTCCCTCCTCCCCATCCACAAGAAGTATATACTATGTACATTAGTAATTTGGGTATCCTCTTGTTCCCGCCTTTTTTTGTACACTCCACAAGGACCCAGTTCGGGTCGGTCCCTCTTCAGACTTGAAGATCAGGAAGAAAGGGGAGAGAAGGATTCTGATTATGTGTCGCATTGAAGGGTGTCAGCATCATCTTCATCCTCCTCCCCGAGTTGGCGTTTCATCTAAATTGCAATTCCTTTTTTCGTTTCCCCTCCCGTTCCTTCTAACCGCCTCCCCTTCAAAAATTATTTCACTTTATTAATCCTCCCCCTTTCTTCTCCAGACCAGCGATGAAGATTCCCTCTACGATGCCCAATCGATCGTCGACTCCAACCTGACCCTCTCCTCTTCGGTACGCGACTACTGCTACGAGAATGGCCGACGCTACCACGCCTACCGCTACGGCGAATACCCAATGCCGAACGACGAAGAAGAGCAAGACCGACTGGCGCTGATGCACCACCTTTTCAAGCTGCTCATCGGCGGCGACCTCTACCGCGCCCCGATCTTCCAGCACGGTGTGCCGCGTCGCATGCTCGACGTGGGCACCGGCACCGGCATCTGGGCGCTCGAGATCGCCGAGCTCCTCCCGGACGCGGAGATCGTCGGCACCGACCTCAGCCCCATCCAGCCCAGCTGGGCGCCCCCAAACTGCTCCTTCCACATTGACGACGCCGAGAGCGACTGGACCTTCACCAGCGACGAGGCCTTCGACTACATCCACGCCCGCACCCTAGGCGGCGCCATCGGCGACTGGGGCAAGTTCCTGCGCCAGGCCTACGCCCATCTGAAGCCTGGCGGGTGGATCGAGATCCAGGAGTACGAGGCCTGGTTCAAGGCGGATGACGGCACGCTGCACGAGGGTCACCTGTTGACGGATTGGCAGGAGAAGCTGGATACGGCGAGCTGTCAATTCGGAAAGAGGATGAATATCGCGCCGCATTTGGAAGGGTGGATGCACGAGGCGGGGTTTGCGAATGTGACGGATGATGTGTATAAGGTTGGTCTCTCACCTCTCTTTTGGTGTCCCTATTGCATCTGGCTATCCCAAAATACATGATATTTTGGTTAGGATTCATGCTAATCGAGTCAGTGTCCTGTCGGCTCCTGGCCCAAGAGTCCCCGGTTAAAAGAGATCGGACGAGTTGGGAAAGTGACGACCTTCGAGGCCGTCGAGCCATACTCGCTGGCTCTGTTTACTCGCGTGCTGGGCTGGACCTTCGAAGAGGCCCAGAACTACGTGAATAAAGTACGTGCGGAGCTGCTCAGTTCCCCGTATCATAGCTACGTTCTGTTCCACTATGTCTACGGACAGCGGCCGCTAGACGGGTAGGGGTTTGACTTGACAGGTGCAACGAATGTTCGACGAGTTCACGACGAGGATGACGGCTGTATAAATTTGAATGGATCTGGGTAGGGGGGCTTACTGTTCGGTTTCTCATCTTCTGTTTCTGTTCGCATTTCTTGAATACCCTCCGGTGTTATTTCTCTGGTGTATATATATGAGCGAGGCGGTTGTTTTAACCTCAACGACTTCATCGAGTCAATTGATATTCATTTACGGACTATGTACTACTGTTGCTGCAACTACTATCCCTGTAGCGAATATCCCACCCCCTCACCTGTCCCCATCGCCACCAGATTCGCGCGCATCTTCTCCGCCCGCTCCCCAATGCCAAACGCTGCATCGTCGCGATGCACCCACGCCCCGACGCCATGCTGCAGCACCGCCGTCGCCCGCACCTTCTTATCCGCCTCATCCCCTCCAGACCCCTTTAACCCGATGCTCCCGTGCAGCGTCAACCTCGACTCCTCCCCTCCCTCGGGCTTCGCGCGATACACCCCGCGATGCAAGATATTGCTGTCATAGAACACCGCATCCCCAGGCTTCAACTCCACCACCAACTGCCCCGGCATGTTACCCTCGTACGGCGCCGCACTGCGCTCCGCCTCCGTACGCACCCGCCGATGCGACCCAGGAACCACAATCAACGACGCATCCTCGCACAGCGCCAGATTATACTGCGCATGCGACTGCTTCCCCGCGGGGCTCTTCGCATGCAATAACCGCTCCTCTTCCTCCGGAGAGACCGTATCGGGAATATCATCGCGGTGCCAACGGAGTTCGAAATCCTTCGTCTCCGGCGCGACGAGCAGGTTGAAAAGTTCCATCACGAGGGGTTCCTCCCCCTTTCCCTCCGAGCCTGAACCTGTTGACGTTGACAAGCCCAGCAACTCCTCCGCCACAGCCAACACCTTCTCCGAGAAATAAAACCGCGCGAATTCCTTCCGTCCGGGCATCTCGGGATGCAGGAGGTGCTGGACGCCCCAGATGCCGCCTTCGGAGGCAGGCGGCGGCGTCGTGGGCCACGGGGGGAATTGTTTGGGTACGGTGCGGAAGTGAGGCCAGGAGCCGGTTCGGGTCTTCGTGGTGGCGGTTGTTGCGGCGGCGCGGAAGGAGGTTGTTTCGGCGGGGTCGAGAAGGGAGGAGATTACCACGAAGCCGTCGCGTTGGAGGGCGGTTAGGTAGGGTGTTTCTTTTTGGGTGGACATTTTGGTGGTTTTGTTTGGATGGTTGGTTTGGGGGATGGGTTTGAACTTTCAAAGGAGGTAAGGTAGGTAGGTATGTGGACGTGGGGGAAGAAAAAGAAGAGGAAGTTCACGGAGATAAGAGGTTAGCCTCGGGGTTATTCTTTTCACTTCAGTCCGTTACTGTAGGTAGGTGACAGGTGTACGAGAACGCAGACGAATTTATACAGCCAAGCAGAAGTGAAGTGTCGCATCAAGGCTTCAATTCTATTACCCAACGATGTAGCGTGAGAATACGACGTCGCTTATTGACTTTCTCCAGGACTCGTCACTAGTAAGTAGTAACTACCAAGGTGGTAACTACACAGGTGGAAAGGGTTGTTTTTACCCCGCGGCAGGCACAAAAGCGGGGCTCTGGGAGGTTGTGGTTACATTTGTTTACTCGATGGGCTGATGTGTAATGCTTGTCTTGTTTGGGGAGGTCCTGCCAGATTTCTTCATGCTTTATGATACTCTATCTTATGTGAATGATGAGTATATTTATTGCTACGTATCTTAATTCAGGACTGCAGGTGTCAACAGACGGTCTCACCTCGGTTAAGCCCGCAGCGATGTATACGAGGTATACGAGAACGTTCAGTCCAGGCTCAGCTCGGTCTTCATAAATGCTAGATATCCTCCGTACGCATAGTCATACACTACAAAGCTTACTACTCCTGTGCACTTAACTACTGGTAGGCTGGCATACACTTAATCAAGCCAACTTGAGCCTCGAATGCCAAGCCGATCACTAGCCAAGCTGCCTTGGACAAGTGGAGGAGAGCCCTAAGCGGGGAGTGCCGGAGCTGATGCAGATAATGATAATCCTCATTATGATGTACACCACACTCCGATACACCGCGGAAAATGATCGGGATCATGGTCAGGAATATCATGAATATCCTTCCTGCGTGTGTACCGCAGTTCCTCCCGGTTCCACGGACGAGGCGATTCGCATGTCTCAGCCAAGACAGCCAAGACCGATGGGTTTGTATAGCGACCCCCACCGCTGGATGAGGAAGAAGGCGGTGCCGATCGGGGAGCTTCAGCCGTCATGGAATGAAGAATCATGGTGGCGGGGCAGAGTGAAATCATCGTCTTACAGAATATAATCATGCGATACACCGTAAGGGACACAGTCAGATTGTTGCGAGGTTTATTATGTATGACGTAATCGTAAGATTGATAGTTATCCTCCAGTCCAATCAGGCAAGATCGCACCTGCCACTTCCCGTGCCTTCCTAATTGGGGTGCCCAAGCAGCCCCTCTTCCGGTAAGTGCGTAATGCATCGACCTCTTGTTTCTGCTTAGCCTTCTTTTTTCTCTCTTTTTCTCTTTCCTCTTCGGACAGTCCCTCTCTGCTAGTCGCATCATCTCCTTCTACCTACATTTTTTCGCACAATTCTACCATGGCCTCGAGACTCAGTCCGGGCTTCAGCGCCCTGCTGATTGTGGGCTTGCTCTTGCTCGTGTTTCCCTCGCACGTTGATGCTTTCGGTGCCGGCAGTATGTCTTTCTCCCTTCGATTATCATCCTGGGTTGGCGCTCACTAACAAATCTTAGACATCGCCTCTATCTCCGCCGTCGAGGGGGAAAACTGGCGCCATGGCGATATCGAGGATATGCTCAAGACCGTCGCCTTTATCAAGGGCCACAAGTGGACTTCCACCATGATCAAGCGCGTTTACTTTGGTAACTGGTTGCGTGATTAGTGAGTTTTTCTCTGCCTCGGAGAGTGCGACAAGAAACGGAAATAAGTGCTGACTGCGAAAAGCTCCCAGGCTATGGATGTCGGAACCCTCAAGAGTCTCCCCGCTGATACCATTCGGGTCTTGGTCTGGATCCTCTCATTCATGACCTTCGGCTACGCGACGGCTGAGTTCGAAGTCACCTCCGACAGACTAGGTGTCTACCGTCCGGAGGAACACATTGAGTATGGATTCGCAATGCCTGTCATCCAAACTCTCGGATAGCTAACCCTCCGGTTCCTTCTCCAGCAACCCCAAAGACTACGCCGATAACCAGGATGCCCGCGAGTTCGACAAGAGATTGCGTGGCCCCGTTAGTCAGAAGGAGCTCGATATCGACCCTCAGACCGGCATGAAGAACTACATTGCCAATGAACGCGGCAACTGGGATACGAGCACAGCCTACATCAAGAAGAGCTTGGCTCGTAGCATTCACTACGGCCGCACGTACACCCACAGCGGAAGCCGCAAAGGCAACGAAGAGGATCTGTGCGAAGCTCTGCGATGCCTGGGTCAGGGTCTGCACACCCTGGAGGACTTTGCGGCGCACACCAATTACGTCGAACTGGCCCTCCGCGAGATGGGTTTCCAGAACGTCTTCCCCCATACCGGCACCAGGACCCAGATGAACCTCCACGGTAAACACGTCTTTCCGCTAGTGACCGGATCCTTTGGTATGGTGGATTTCTTCCACTCCGTTCTCGGAGAGGCGACGGATCACTTCACCCAGTCCGAGGTCAACGAAATGGACATCGCACTGGGAGACGCGCAGAACAGCTCGTCTTCCGGATCCAGTACGGCCTTGACTGCATTGCTCGGGAAGATTCCCGGCACCAAAGAGCTCGTGACCGAAGCGGAAGAGCTCAAGCGCCGCTCCGATGCCCAGGAGTCGTCCAACAGAAGCGGCGGCTCTCGTTCGGGCTACGTGGCGCGCGAGGCCGTCCGAAGTTTCAACGAACGCGATTCGGGTCACAGCCGTGGCTTCGAAGGGGATCGATATGGTTCCTCCAGGGCCAACGAATCCAGCAAGCCTTCTTCCTCTGAGGGTCCCTCCGGTCCCTTGGCTGACTTTGATCCGAACAAGACCATCGAACAGATCTATCCGATCCTTCAGTTCAGAGACAACGTGGTCCGCAAGCTGTCGTCGATCATCGAGAAGATCCCCGGCTTGGAATCGCTGGTTGAGAAGATCACCGAGACGCTGACGGTCTTCGTCATGTCTCTGCTGGCTCCGTTCATCCGCCCTCTCATCAACGCCGCCTCCAAGTCGCTACAGACTGGATCTGCCGGCGTCATTGATGCTTCGGGTAAGCATCAATTCGAGCCGTGGACAGACCCGACTTGCACGGACCCTACCCACTCGCTGTTGTCCAAGGACCATTTCTCCAACATTCTGAATAAACCTGCCGGTCAGGTCGCCTCGGCCATCCTCCGGTACGTGGCCCCTCGCGTCCTTCACGCCTGGGAGAACATCAACATCCCGGAGCACCAGGTCGTCGAGGACTGCCTGCAGGTGTTCCATCATCCGGCTCTGCGCAACATGCGCAACGACGCCCATCGCACCATGTTCGAGGCCGTCGAATCATGGGTGCAGTCCCGGCCAGACCGAGGCTCCAAGCTCAACGATATCCTGAGCGCCGAGGGTGTTAAGGAAGGAAAGAACAACGGGGGACAGGTTGGTCACTCCCACGGACAAGGCGGTCACGGGCCATCACAGTCGCAGTACCAGCGGCCGCCGCAACAGCAGCAACAACAACAGGGCTCCTCTGGAAACCCGCTGGAGCAGCTGTCACACCTTCCAATCCCAGGAGCGTCCAAACTTGGCAAACTGGGGAGTGCTTTCTCCAGTCTCGGGCTGGGTGGCTCCGCCCGGGATGGGGAGGCTCCATCCCAACAGAGCTCCTCGTCTCAATATCAGGACCAGCAGTATTCCAGCCATCAGCAGTCTGGCCAGTATCAGTCGCACCAGTCCCATCAATCACACCATTCATCCCAAGAATCCCATTCCCACCATCATCACCAGCACCATAGCCACCAGCCGCATCACTCCGGTGGAGATTACGGTGGCGGCTATGGCGGCGGTAGCCATCATGGACAGGGTGGGCACAGCGCAGATTACTATGGTCAAGGGCAAGGATATGGACAGGGTTCCGGTCACGGGTCAGGGGGGTATAACTCTGGGGGGTATGGTTCTGGAGGATATCAATACTGAAACCTGTAGATATCTATTTAATGCTGGAGGTTAGCTCCTCAATTTGATGATTTAGTTCATGATGGTTTTTGTCCAGTTAGTAGATGTGGTCACTGATGTAACTAACACCTTTGAACGAGATCCGGATGTTCGACATGCGCTGCAAAGCTGTTTGTGAATATAAAGCATATTAAAAAACAGCTTTTCAACAAGGAAGCCTGGCTAGCTCAATCGGTAGAGCGTGTGACTCTTAATCACAAGGCTGCGGGTTCGAGCCCCGCGTTGGGCTGACTTCCTTTTTTGGTTTTTTTTATTTCTTGTTCTCGCTGGGAAGACGGATTCAATTAAAATCGTCTTAGCCTGTTTTGTTGGGACCCTCGTTCTTCCTTTCCTGCCTTTTTCTATAGCGGTGGTGTTTTTGTGCTTTTTTTTTTTCACTTCAATAGCCTCAACGATGCTCCGTCCGTCAATCCATGGATCCAGAAAAAAAACAAAAACCCCCTGCCACGAACAGAGAGAGATATAGAATAAGGAACGACAGGCTGCTGCATGCTATATATTATATTATATATAGGGGATTGATACTACCACCACCCCTTGCCTGAATTCTTAGGTCCCCTATATATATATCCCTAACCACTCGATAATTGCAATAGATCGTCTGTTGCTCCGTTGGAATCCCTGCTGCTAGTAGAGTATGCAAAAAAGAACCTTAAACACGGAGGAAAGTTTGCTTTGCGCATGTGGTTTTTTCAATTTACCCTTCCCTGATTGACTGACTGATTGATGTATGTGTTTGTTCTCCAATGAAGAGTAAGTAAGTAATTGAAGAAAGAGACAGAGAAGCATCTATCTCAGTACTAACAACCTGCTCAGGGCCCTGGATAAACCAGGTGTAAGGCACCGGTCCGTTGACTTTACCACTGCACTACACGCCAAAAAGGCACAATGAATGACCTGTTGGTCATTCAGTCAACGTACTATATATAGGGACCCTGACACCAGGACATGCAATCCTTCTTTTTTCATTTCCCCCCCTAACGAGGTTAACCACTACTGAGCCCATTGATGAATTTATTTATTCATTTATTTTTTTTCTCTACTCAAAGAAAACCGATAGTGTTGAAGGTATGATGCATTACATCTCGGATTCTCTACCCTCTCTCTGCGCAGTAGAATTCGGCCAAACGAGGCCTCTCATGATCTCACTCATCCCCACGTGAAACCGGGGTTAGGGAACCACAGAATGATAATAGAAGACATCAAAACTCGCAACATATCCCCAGTTAGGAATAGGATGAAATCGCCTGTCGATCATTTTCACTGCCGATCACTGGTTTGGTTTCCCCAACAAAACCCCGGGCTCATGGAAGCGAGATGGTTCATCCCACAGTTCCCACTACTTCCTATAGTGGGACCACCGAGCCAGCCCAGATCAGAGACAGTGAGACACTCTCTGGCAGTAGTCGGCATGTGAAGAATGGAACATGGTCGAGGGCTGAGGGTCGAGTCAACCCCGCATAGATCCAGCCTCGGAGTTGAGAGATCAGCAGGAGGTCCTGACTATATAGATCCCTCATGGTTTGCCAGGAAGGTATGGATGATTGAGCAGCAGCAACCACAGCAGCAGCAGCAGCAGCAGCAGCAGCAGTAGTAAGCATGGCTACCAGACCCAACCCGAAAGACTCGATGAAATCGACCTGGCGCGTCGGCAACCGAGACGAATGGAACATCAACCACTGGGCCCTTGAGGTTCTCAATGCCCACCCCATCGCCCTCGACCAGGAGGTCCCTGTGCACAGCAAAGACGAGAAAGTTCCCTTCATGCCTCAATGGTCCCTGCATCGCTGGGTGCTCTTCTACTCGGCCCTCCCGCTCCTCCTCCACCAGCTCTACATGACCTACACCGGCAAGACCCTCGGTCCCTTTGCCGTCTTCAACCTCTACTTCTTCGTCTTCAACGCCACCGTACTCTACCAGGTCCATGTCCTGCGCCGTCTCGGCCACACCTACGGCTTCCTGGACGGCGACCAGCACGAACGAGACGGCGTCCCGGACGTCGGTGTCGGCAAAGTGGTCACCTCTCTCTACAAAACCACCGGCTCCCGGATCCTCCTCGCCATCTACCTCACCTACACACGCACCCAGCTTCCCTCCACCCTCACCTGGATATGGCTCCCGCTCCAAATCGGCCTGTATGGCATCATCCTCGACTTCTGGTTCTACTGGTACCACCGAGTAATGCACGACGTCAACAGTCTCTGGAAATACCACCGCACCCACCACCTCACCAAGCACCCGAACCCCCTCCTCGCGGCCTACGCCGACCACGAGCAAGAGTTCTTCGACATGGTCGGCGTCCCGCTCCTCACGTACCTCACATTCCGGGCCCTCGGCCTCCCGCTAGGCTTCTACGAGTGGTGGATCTGCCACCAGTACGTCGCCTTCGCCGAGGTCTTCGGGCACAGCGGTCTGCGGCTGCATTTGACCGTGCCGTCGACGATGAGTTGGTTGCTGCAGGCCCTGGACTGTGAGATCGTGATCGAAGACCATGACTTGCATCATCGGAAGGGCTGGCGCAAGAGCTATAACTATGGGAAGCAGACCCGGCTCTGGGATCGGGTGTTTGGGACTTGTCATGAGCGGATTGAGTCGGTGGAGGCGAATGTCGATTACGAGAATCCCGCTACGATGCCGCTTTTTTGATCGGGTTCTAGTGTGTGGTTGCGGTCGATTGCTGCAATCTGTGTGTTTCTTCACCTTCATCCCAGTCGACAAATACATATCACACATACCCCCGGCAGCACTCAAAGAGCCCAAGGATACATACATACTTACATGAAAGACGCAACGCCAAACTATACATGACTTGATTTGAACACCCAGCAGAAGAAAAAAAAAAGGACTTGAATGAAGAAAAAAAAGCAGATAGAAGAGAACGAAGAAGCAAGCGACAAGAATTGACAATAAACAGACATACATTTATCTACCTGTCTGTCTGTCTATCTTGTTCGGCTACGGATGGATGACGATATATCTATGAACCTAGTTAGATTTTATATACCCCTTACCTACCTACTTATGATTACTACACTACCCCTTTGATTAGTTAACGTGAATAGTACTAGAATGTCTATTTATTTCACAGATGTAATTGAACCGGTCAGTGTTAGTAGGGTCAAGGCTTGATTGATTGATTCATTCCATTATCCTCCATTTCGGCACCCGTACGGGGCCACGCTCGAGTTTGCGGTGACAGCATGGTACACTAAGTTATCCTATAGAATTATCGAAGCTCCAGTTGACCGTCAGAGGCCTTGATCGCGCAGATATATATATCTTTTCAACCCACGTAGATGGCCGGCCAGAGAGCCTCCTTCGAAACCCGTAGGCCCTCTCTCTGGTGGGCGATCCCATAGAGCCGTTGCCACTCGCGGTCAGTATAGTCTATAAGCCATCGTATCCCGCCTGACCAAGCCCCCAGTAGTCGCCTGAAGCCCAACATCGTGTAAGGAGTCCCTAAACGCACCGCCAGCTCGCCGCGAAATCACAAAGATGGCTGGATCAAACAACCGAATGCCGTAATAGGGATGCAGGTGGTCAAGGGAGAAGACTTGGGTAACAGCTGCTCTCCTGGAGCGCGCCCTTTTAACCACTACCCGGGGTTGCCGCGGCCCCGGGCTCTACTGCTGCCTCTGCGCCGGGGTCCCGATCTTCCGCTCCGCCCTGTTGTTCCTCCACGTCTCCTTTGTGGTCTTCCGCCCTGCCGACCTCGTCAGGTACTTCCTTCATCTGGCCTCCCTCCGTGACCTGCAGCCGAGCCATCTCCCTCAGGTAGGGGAGGCGTCCGGTGGCCAGTAGGAACTTCGCCATCCGCGGTGCATGCTTAGAGTCGGTCAGGGCGTCTCGAATATGCCGCGGATGGTAGGTGTGGTCAGGCCCCCAGAGCTTGAATCGCAGGGCCTCGTAGCGGCTGCAGTCGAGCAGGATATGAGCTACTGTTTCCGGGGCTCGCTCGCAGGGACAGCGGGGGTTGTCCGCGCGTTTGATAGTCGCGAGGAAGTTGTTGAGCCCTATCTTGCCTGTACGCGCTTGGAATAACGCACTGGCTTCAGGGGTGGTAAGACCCCTATACCGCTGCAAGGCCTTGCTCTAAGGGCCAAGCTCTGGAAGCCACTGCCGTAAATAGTTGCCGTGGTCCGCATGCCGCCAGTTGTTCCTCCATTCCTCCTTGGTGTGCTGTTTAACCCACGTACATTCCCTCTCAGTTCCCCTGTAGGCCATAGAGGTGATCCCGTGATCTACCGATACCGCGGAGGCCCCTATATGCTTTAGGCCCCCGGGTAATTGAACCGGTCAGTGTTAGTAGGGTCAGGGCAAGAAAGAAGCCATTTGAAATTCACATCAAGATGCGAATGAATTGCATGATAATTCAGAAAGCTCCGAGCTCCGTACGATAACTCCCTAGTCAACGAGATGTAAATCATGTGCAAGTATAACAGCAACAAGGACAGACAGAAAAAGGGGGGTTGAGGGCTTCAAAAAGCTGGAATGTGAAACATGAAACAAACGCCGCATACGCCTCTCCTAGAGTCCTATATTTGCAAATCCCGGAAGTCCCTGACATAACGGAAAGTCAAAAAATGTGATCTATACACCCCCGTATCACTTCAACAGGACGATCAGGATGACCAGGACGATGATCAACCCGATGATGGTCATCATACTCCAATTGTCACCGGCACTTCTTCGGATCTTGTCGAGCCGTCGCCTGGCGCCATTCAACCGGCCCTGATGCCTCTCGACATGTCCATCCATATCGTCCAGTAGTGCCACATGGCCTTCCAGCTCATCCCCGATCTGAATGCTGAGTTGATGTTGCCGTCCAATGGACTCTCCCAGGCGATCCAACTGCTCATCTTGTTCGCGCATCACGTCAGAATGATGATCGTGGATCTGCTGGTTGGACATTTCCGACTGGTCCACGCCCGACGGGGACGGCGAGTCGCGATACGGCTGGAACAGATGGCGACGGTTCAGGTCCTCTTCTTCGGCGGCCGAGTCCATGAAACGCACCGACTTGGACGGTGGGTGCTGCGGAATGGGTTGTTTCAAGTCCGGCGAGGAATTCTGGACGTTGGTGAATTGTGGCTGTTCATCGGCGGAGGCTTCGGGGCTATCGTGGCCATGGAACTGGGTCGAGAGGTCGCGGAGCTGGGATTGGAGATGGCCCAGCTGGTCGCGCATTTCTGGGGCTTCTTCGTCGTTGGCATTCTCGAGTCTAGAACATTCCGCCTCGACGGCCTCGATGCCGTCGCGTAGGGATTCTAAGGAACGGGAGATCTCGCCGTCCTGGCTGTTGGGTTCTAGGTCTAGCGAAATGGCACGTTGTCGTTCTAGGAGGGATAGTTTGATGTGATCTGCAAGGAGAAAGAGCTGAGACGGATTCGGCATTTTGAGGATGATCGGAACGGGCTGTGGAGGGCGATACGATGGAAGGTCAAGGTTGACCTAGGTTGACTGATTGCGGAGACGGTTTTCGACGAGGTACCCGGAGAAGCCGGCGAGTCTGGTCGAGAAGTCAGGTCGAGAAATCCCGTTGGGCGAGAGAGGCAGAGAAGAAAAGAGATACCCGAACGGAACAGATGCGACAGGGACAGGGACCGGAGGTGGTGGATGGAAAGGGAGGAGGAGGGAGGAGGGAATGGAATGGACTGGCCGGTCCGTGTCAGCCTCGCCTCCTCTCGGCCGGAGATCAGCTGCCGCCTCCCGCCCTTTTCCCATTTCCTCCCCGCAATCTTTCTTTAGTTTCCTTCTTCCCCTCATCGCATCTCGTCGGTCTTTTTTCGTCCTCCCCTCCCATTCTTGACGCCCTTCAGCCACCGTGTAACTCTCATGGGGGACTTGCGGCACTATTGTTTCATCATTTCATCCCTTCGGCAACTCGTCGATCCTCGCTCGAACCCTCCCCCCTTTCCTGCGCCGCTACTAAGCCGTGTGATTAAGTGGCGCGATATTGTCTTATAATCCGCTTCTTGCCCAGAGTCATCTCGACTTGATCTCTGTCCTACTATGAATCTCGAAGAGCTCCTCGCCATGGAGTCGAATTCCGACCGCGACAATATCGTCGATCTGCGCTCCCTCGACCATGTCTCCAGCTACGACGACCACCTGATGTGCCCGATCTGCCACTGTCCCTTTATTCGCCCGGTGCGCTTACAGTGCGACCATGTATTCTGCCAGAAATGTCTCAACAGCGCGATCACCAGTTTTGGGGCCGGTCGCGACGAGTTCACCTGCCCCAGTTGCCGGACACCGACCAAAGGCGTGTATCTGAACGTCCCCCGACTGTTGATCAATATGTGCGACGACATCCGCGTCAAGTGTCCGTTTTCGGAGGAAGGGTGCAAGGAAATCATTCCTCGGGGCCATGTCCAGTCCCATGTGGACAAATACTGCGGGTATAGGTTGATGGACTGCCCGGGTACGCTCTGCGACAAGAAGTCTCGGAAGAAAGACTTGCATCCCGACCGCCGATGCATGCATGAACTTCACAAGTGCCTGCGCTGCGAGGAGGAGATCATGGAGCAGGATTATGAAGTGAGTTATACATAGGGTGTCTCTTGTTCATGCTATTTGCGATCATTAACGATGGTCTGTGTCGCACCTCAGGAACACGTGAAAGAACTTTGCCCGAGCCTTAAAACAACATGCCCCGACTGCCAGACGACGGTGTTCCGAAAAGCGCTGAGGGAGCACATCGACACCTGTCCCGAGGCCATTCACTCCTGCCCGGCATCTAAATTCGGCTGTCCCATCCGAGTCAAGCGTGCGGAGCTCGTGGTGCACGAGCAAAGCTGTCCCTTGATCACCATGGGCCCGTACTTTGAAGCCCAGAATGCACGACTCGACTCCATGGAGCTGACCATCCGTCATCTTCAGCAGCGCAACGAGATCTTCGAGGACGGAATTGCCAGTATCCGCTCGACTCTGGTCGAGTCCACCCGGTCAATTCCGGAGCATCAGGCTGCCGAGGACCGCCGAGGAGTGTCTCCTTCGGCTTCCTCAGCCCCGTTATCCAACGACCAATCACAGGTGGACAATTCGAATGCATACACATCCAACGCCACGACGTACCTGTTGTCACTCCACGAATCCCTCCGGGAAGAGGTCGGGCAGCTCTCGCATGCCATCACCGATCTCGACGCTCGCGCCAGCATGGCCATCATGAACGAATGTCTCCGACTCAAGGAAGACATGGCTCACACCAACGCCGCCGTTGGCAGTATCCGCATGCAAGTCCAGTGGCTCATGAACCCCCGCATTCACCAAAGCCAGCGCGCCGGAGTGCGTGCCAACAGCAATGAGCCTGGCTCTTCAACGCCAGCAGGCTCCAGCCAGACCGCCGGTCCCTCGGCCGGTATGTTTCGAACCCGCCGACTCAGCGATAGTGGACGTGAAGGCACCAAGCTATAACTTTCTCTGCGTGGTTTAACGCGGGATACGAAATAATGACTTCTATTGATTGATATTTTGTCTGACTATACAGCGAACAAGGGTGGCATTTCAGTACTTTTTTTTTTCTCTCTTTATCTAACTATTTTTTTTAATATCTACAGCCCTACGATGGTCTGTATGATCTTCCAAACGTGGTATTTACTATTTTGCTGGGAGTTTGAGGGATGGATGTCATTATCTTATACTATTTGTAATGCTGATATGTGTATGGCTGATTGTAATATTTTCTTTTTTATATACCTATACCAGTGGAGTTGAACCCATGATAGAACAGACATTTCAACATGCAATGGAAGATAAGAAAGAAAGCAAACGTCAATAATACGAAAAGATTAAATTAAAGAGGACCCAAAGATCATACAAAAGAAATCCACGCCGTAAAAAACCCCCATTCTTTCCTTCGTGTCTATTTATTGACCCTTCTTACTGGCATCCTTCTCATTAGGCAAGTGCTTCGTCTTATGCTGCAAATCCTTCAGGTCGACCTCACCGTCGAGATCGCCTCGATCGGCTTTGATCTGTATTGCACAAATGTGGTATTAGCATTTGGCCGGTCCTTCGTTTGCTCGTTGATGCGTTCATGCATGGATGTGTGCATCAATTCAACCCATCACCAAACTATAGGAGTGGGGGTAACCTACAAAAGCTTCACTGTTACTCGCCAATTCCTGCTTCCAGTGGGCTTTTCCCTCCTTGGTGCTCTTCAATTGCTCTTCCTTCGATGACTCGTAGATGTTGTGCAGGTCTTCACGGTCTGTAAAGTATGCTTAGTTAGTACGGGAGATTATTCAATCGGGAGGGATCGTATATATATGCTGTATAGAGGACAGAGGATGGAGGAAAAGAAGAAGGGGAGGGACGAACTGTGATCCGACTCCTTGAGGCCCTGACGGACGGAGGAAGTGTGGAAGGAAGAAGAAATAGAACCGGTGCTGGCGGAGATAGGTCGGAGGGCCAGACGAGGCGCGATTGTTGAGCGGACGGAGGCGAGGAAGGACATGTTGGATTGGATTGGTGTTGGTCTGATGTGTGTGTCTTTTACGAAGGCCTGAATTGAAGAAAGACTGATTGTTAATGGACTGAGATGATTCGTAGAAGTGTCAAGATCAAAAAATAAAAAATAAAAATAAAAAACGAGAGGGAGGGAGAGGGAAGAGAGCTGGGATAGACAGCGGCGACCGGTTTAGATCAAGATGACGTATGCGAAGCTCTCCCGTTTCGGGGAATTTATACGCGGGAATCCTTGGAAGAGTGGCACTTACGGGGATCAATATCTTTCGTCAACGGCCAGAGAAGTTTCCAAAAGAACAGAATAGAGAAATCTGCAGCAAAGGTTCTTACACGAAAAGGAGAACCAGCTCGGTTTAAAGCCATCGCCCACATCCATTTCTCCTCGGTAAAGCCATCAACTTGACTTCCTGGCTGGTGTCACCGATGACGTCATGGACAGTCGAACAACGCCTTCCTTCTTGGCTGCACTTATGACCGTTGATGATGATGTTCTCTTCTAACGTGCATTGATACAGTATTCTGCTGCCTGGGTGGAGACGTCGCTAGATTCTCCAGTCTTTCTAGTTTCGACGGGGCACCATTCTATGGGGCTGGGGGAGGTTCGAACGCTAGGTAGTCAGGGCGACCATCGCGGGACGTCCTGTGTTGTTTGGGGCCCTGCTGTCATATCTATCGGTGACATCACAGTGTCTCAATGTCTTCGAAATGGCCTTACTTGGAGACATGTGGGTTTTATGCTGACGGATAGAGATAGACCGATCCATCCACGACCAGTGCTAGACTACTGTGGAGAGAGCCAAACATGACCACCGACGTTCGGTGTACAATTCCAGAAGGACAAATTGGAGTGGTGTCAACAATCACGTTGTGTCCAAAGCTAATCTCACAACTATTTATAGGGAATCTTCCCGCATAGTGCAATAGCAACAAGCATATAGACAAAGGAAAAAGAAGATATGGTAGAAAGACCGAGTGCCCAAGAGGTGAGAACAGAAAACAAAAGATCATACACAGCATCATACTCTCCGGGAGTGCCCAGAAGTGAAAAATCCAAATAACACACACAAAACACCCGAACGAATCAACGTGGGACCAAAAACGAATTGGAAACCGCAAAATGGTCTATTGTCTCGCGATGAGCAAGAGACCCCGTCAAAAACTCCAGCCACATCCAGTCCATGGATTTTTTTAGTTTCAAAAGCCGTTGTGCAGTAGCAACAGACAGAGGAAAGAAAAAAGAATCACCCGTATCCCCAACCCATATACACGAATAGAAAGGAAATAAAAAGAGCTGTAAAAGACACACGTGTCAAAGAAGTCAAGCAGACCAAACAAACATCCCGAACAGTCCAACAGTGCCCAATCAATGCAGACGTATATCGTTTCCACCTTTCTAGATCCCTGAAAAGCGTATAACAGAAAATACCCATCCCACCCAGAAAAATTAAAACAAGTCACAAACCAAACCAAACAAACAAACAAAACGAGGATATATGGTAGACAGCTAAGCACTTCTTGCCTAGTCGTCAAAATACATCGAAAGCACAAGCAACTCCAGCCCATGAATGCGCGCCCAAATGGCAATTCGCCGCACTTTCTATACATCATCGCGGCCAGTAACGTAAAGACCAGAGGATAATTTTGTTTTTGCCCCTAACCAAATGGTGAAAAACAAGGTATCGATGGGAGAAGAAAAGAGGAAGTGTGAATGCAAAACTCGATCGCAGGCGCCGTCGCTCGCAGAAAGTCGAAAGCATCAGTCTAGAGAAAAGTGCTGAAGGTCGTCATCGGAGAGAAAAGTGTATATACAGAGAAAATCACCGGGTGATCTCATGATCTTGCGAATGTCGTAAGCCAAACGGGAGATCTTAAAACACCCGGCAGTGATCGTAACGGATGCGATGGCCGTGTCGAAAAGGAAGCAAGTGCAAAAAGCAAAGAATTAAAACCGGCGGTTAGGGAGCCCGATGATGCAGAAGCTGGACGAATTGAAAAACATTTTCATGGACTTGCGCCCATGAGCCAGAGGGTGGCGACTGGCAGGTGAAGAGGCTCCTCACCATCGGCGCTGAGCGTGCTGCATCGAGGCCGGCGAGATAGACGTGGGCGGGCTGGTCAGGGTCATCCCGGTGTGAGGGTTGACGATAGGGATGACCTTGCGGGTGCGAGCCGCCGACGGCTGCTGGTAGTTCACGTGATTAAGGTTGCCGGACACTCCCGAATGAACGTAAGAATTGCTGGAAGCAGGGGAGAGGGAGATGGATGGCGTGACCTGCTGAACGGGCTGGATTTGATGCTGAAGAGGAGAGGTGTCGGGAGACCCGCTGGAGAGAGAAGACCGATCGGAAGAAGCAGAGTGGATTGAGTGCAGCTAAATCGAGGTCCAAGGTTAACACAACATTCTGCAAAGTATCAACCACCCATCGACCCCCCCAAGAGACTTGGGTTGAGGGCTGATAGGGGTATGAGGAGAGACTAAGGGGAACCGGATGGTCTGAGCTGGGAGGGAGGCAAACATACATCATCTTCCGTCAGGAGCCCAGGGCAGAACTCCAGGTCGTCATCCAGGTCAAACGACCGTCCAGCCTCGAATCGAGCGCGAAAAGCAGAGACGGCAGGGGCTTCAGCAAGTTCTCTCATACTCTTGACACCTCGAAACTGGCGCTGAGCGTTTTGCGCGGCCATCTTAGGTCCTCGGCGAGAGCGACCGCCGTGGTGGTTGTTCGAGGCCATGTGTGCGGTGGCGCCGTGGTGAGGGTGCTGCTGCTGCTGCTGACCGTAGAAAAATGTCGACATGGCGAAGGTATGGTATGGTGGCAAGTAATAACGAAGGAGACAAGGTCGTTATGTCGTTGGCAAACTCCGGGCTATATAAAGGTGGATACAATAACAAAGGACCAGCTTGCTGGAATCCTAGGAAGAGGGAGAAAGAGTTGAAAGAAAAAACAGTATGGTAAAGTGACAAGGGGTCGGGAGGAATGTAGGTAGACTTGAGCGGGCTGAGTGGAAGAGAGAAACAGAGGAAAGATTAGGGCGGCAAGATTGATTTAGATTATGGAGGAAAGAGAAAAAAAGAACAAGAAAAATAATAGGGAAAAAAAGGCAGTGAAAGCGAGAGGGTCGGTTCGAATTTGCGTTTAGTGGTTGTGGGATGGGGAATCTTCGATGGAAAAAGGCGGGACAAGTAGTTGAAAAAGAAGACCGAGAGCAAAGAGAAAAAGAGCCCGGAGTGGACGGAGGCGAGAGCAAGAGGGGCTGCAGGTTGTTATTTTGCTGGGGCTGAGCCAGTGCAAGTCGGTGGATCCTTTTTGGCTTTTGCAAGGGCCTTACCATACCTGACGGTCTAACTCCGCTCCATTCCTGAGGGGACTCCCACAATCCGCGTACGGTAATGTTGGTAATGACCCGGACCGACTCCCTCCTGCGCTAAGCTGGTCACGCACCAGTTTTAGGGCAGCAGGACGATCCAACCAGGACCCCGTCCACGGCCGCAGAGTGGCAAGATGGGGATCCACCGACACCAATGAGGGGCCCGCGCCAGAGCTTGGTGTGGGACTGTAACAGCCACCGTACAGCCCGCCAATGGGCTTTTCCCAGAACGGCTCGAGGCGGTTAGCAGACGGACTAAAGTCACGTCGTAAGATTCAGTCTAGTCTATTTCGAGCGATAATCTAAAATCCGGGCACCCCCCGATTAGTGCAAGGTGGCGGTCGACTCTTAAGGCTGTTGGCCTGTAACACTTTCCCTCTCTGGGTCCCCGTCGTGGTGTGATACCTAATAATGGAGCGTCGATGAGATGGTCGCGCTTGTTGTATGATGATTGATGAGTTGACTACCGGAGGATCGGGGCTTAGGGAGGGGAGGGGGGAGTGGATCTGCCGTGTTATGTTGAAGATCGTGGCAAACATGAAGACAGTTACGCAGTGCTCCGTACTCAAGTCGGAATAGGTAGTGCTACAGGGCTACAGCCTAGGAGTAAGGTGATGACGAGGAGATTCCCACAATCCAGATGATACCTCTGATTACCGACGTCGTGAGTCCTCCGGAGGTGGTAATGCTGCGTAGGAAGGGGGAATGAAGGTGGCTCTCCATTTCCGAAGCCAGGCATGCGCTGGCAGGTTAGGTACCACCCGATACCTACCTAAACAACCACTACGACATGTGCAGGTAATGATGTGCAAGAATTAAGAGAAAAGGTGGTGGCTGGCCCCACTCCGGGGCAGGCATGATTGGCCACGATGTGTCTCGGTACCTTTCCCTTGAACCGTGCCACCTGGGAGAAAGGAGTTAGGAGAAGACCTCGATAATAATAAATCGTGATATTATGGACAATAATAATAATAATACCGGGCAAACCCTGCCACAGTCAGAGTTCAGGGATGGATCCGTGGTCCTGTGCGGTCTTCGCGCCTTCGACAGTTTTCCAAATGGATTATGTAAAAATGGCACCTTGACACAGTAAATCCGGAGACATGGGCGCCTCCCAACCTTACTCCATACTCGTTCCCATGGACGAAGCGAGTGCCCAATTTAGAGGAAGGAGATGGAAAGCTGGTAATGTGCCGTGTCAGATTTGCATTATGCGCCAATGGTTGACAATAGAGCCCCAACCCGGATCCATTCAGCCAACCCCTTTTCCCTCCTATTCTCCTGGCTCCTGAGACGAGACGAGAGGCCAGAGGGCAGAGAGTACAGAGTAGCGACGCAGTGAAGACTGTCACTACAGAGTACTCGAGGAGGTTCGGTTACCAAGAATAGATAGATGATCCGCTGTCACGATAATCGCCGATGCGTCCTGCGTCAATGGGCCACATCCTCCTGCCACTTGTACCCGTAGTAGCCTTCGACAGGCGACTCTTGAAACCCGGAAAGGCTCAGAAGATTGATAGTTACAGAGTACGAGGCGCTAAAACAGTCATGGCCACGGACCAGAAGGGCGGCATGCAGGTCAATATGCAGCTAACAGATGCCCTTGGTCCTCAGACTCCA